GTCAGGGGGCGATGTCAGGGGACAATGTCAGGGGACGATGTCAGGGACAATGTCAGGGGACGATGTTAGAGACGATGTCAGGGGGCGATGTCAGGGGACGATGTCAGAAACGATGTCAGGGGACGATGTCAGGGGGCGATGTCAGGGGACGATGTCAGGGGACGATGTCAGGGACAATGTCAGGGGACGATGTCAGAGACGATGTCAGGGGGCGATGTCAGGGGACGATGTCAGAGACGATGTCAGGGACGATGTCAGGGGGCGATGTCAGGGGACGATGTCAGGGGGCGATGTCAGGGGACGATGTCAGAGACGATGTCAGGGGGCGATGTCAGGGGACGATGTCAGAGACGATGTCAGGGGGCGATGTCAGGGTACGTCAAGAAAACGTCGCCCCCCCCCCTCTCCACCACCTCCCGACTGCCGCTTGCCTACTCGTTTATTTTCCTTCCATCGCAAATTGGACGCCTACTTCTTTTTTCCGTTAATAACTTCAAATAGACGTTCTATTAAACAATGAAGATCTCGGCGGTGGCTATTTCGGCGGCGTTTTGTAACGTTGGCAGCACGATCGACCTTGCGAGGCGACAGCTTTGAGCGCGTGGCGCACGCAGGAGGCGGCGGCGGCGGCGGCGGCGTCCTGCAACTCACGGCCGGCTGCCTGGTGGGGGCATCACCGACACCGTCAACGCCGATGCTGAGTGACACACAAATTAGGCCTCATTGCAATTCACGACGACAGCTCCGTGAACAAGGGGAGTGGACCCCCTCTCGTTTTATGCATCGGGTTTTTGCGTTAATAAAGCGCGACCGGCCTGCATTAGATTAGGGGCTCGTTTAGCATATTATAATTCCATCAATTAACGCAAGCGTTATTGTTTGTTACCGCAGCCACATTTATCCGTGAAAAGTGTGCGTAAAAGCATTCGTCAAACATACACGAAAGAGGTGGCAGGGATTTTTTGAGAGCAGTTGACATTTTCCGCAACCAGCGTTACGAAAAACGGGTGCGTGATCAACCTCAGCGTGATCACTACGACCACCATCATCGTCACAACCCCATCACTATCCCCACTGCCATCATTACCATCATAACCACCACCACCACCAAAATCAGATATAACACCAGCCCCATCACAATGGGACATAACACCACTATAACCCATCACCACCAGCCTGCAGTCATATTCGTTCCAAATTGTAATTCAGAAAACTTCTTCTGAAGAAGAATAAGCAACATCCACACATTATCGGTGCAGCATCCTCCTACCCTTACATCTCTGGTCGTGTCAGCCCCTGAGATGAACGTACACGGAGTGAGAGCCACTTCTGGTGAATCAGTAGCCAAAGAAAACGATCCCTGACCTTCGAAACGGCCTTTCAATGGGCAGCACATGGGCAGGTTCACACGAGTAGCCTGAGAACCCCGTTTTAGAAGAGCTCTTCCAGCCAAAGAGATGAGAATTCGCCTCTTCCAGCAGTAGAGGCGACGAGACGGCCTCCACCTTGAGGAGACGCCATCTGCCAATCCCCCAACTTCACCAGAAGATGTTGTCAATCACCTGGAGAACCAGAAGATTCTGTTAACTACCTGGAGAACCAGAAGATTCTGTCAACCACCTGGAGAACCAGAAGATTCTGTCAACCACCTGGAGAAGTCCAGAAGATTCTGTCAACCACCTGGAGAAGTCCAGAAGATGCTGTCAACCACCTGGAGAAGTCCAGAGACCGGTGTGGAGGAGAAACTCCGACTACAGCTTGGGGTCATTAGCACAGACGACTTGGGGAGCACTGCTGCAGACTTTGTTGTATTGTGTGTTGTTGTAACGTTCTGACCCGCCCCTACCAGACATCTGGAAAACAACTTTATAGCTCGTGGGATTTCTCCAGTGTCAATATTTTGTTTCTTAATACGTTAAGGCCTGTGACTCGTGTACAGTCCTCACTCTTGCTTGGAACACCTCGTCAGTCTGGTTCTACCTGGAGTTACCTGAACAATGTTGCCTTGGCAGTGTCTGGGGATACCTGGATAGTAAATTATATTATTTAAACTATTTTGATTTTACCAGGTAAGAAGGCCCACCGAGCTATGTAGCTCTTTTTCAAAAGCGACCTGGCCACAAATGATAGTTCAACTAAGTGGCTTATTATGCGGACATTGTACAGCAGCCACATTCTCTAAACCCTTGCTTCAGTGTCATGAGTTACCTGGACAGTGCTGCCTGGTCAGTGTCTGGAGATACCCAGAGTTCCTGCGAACCTACGAACTCGCCTGTGATTTGCGACCAGTCCTACAGCCAACCCTACGACCTCGTTAAGGCTGCCTAGATCCTGAGAATGAATCAGAGCAAGCCGTTAAACAAAAGCGAAATTGTTAAACTGCGGTCAATCCTTCTGTATTGAAATTACATTCTCCAAACAGATTTTCATGACTGCCTCTGACGGTTGTTGTAGACAAGCGATACCCTTCGTCTCGATGCTTCCATTGCTATTACCCTGGACAAACTCAAATATTCGTGCCGAGATCATTGCCCTTGCGAACTGCGTAGTTGACACCGTTACTGCGAGTTACAGATTCACACCAGACGTACATCCACATTCACTTGTGATTTTATTTAGACAGTTGATTGTATTGGTGAGAGGGCCGAGGGAGAAATAAACATCTCGAAAGACCGGGCTCAGTGTGACTGGGCTCGTTCCCGACTGCGACTGCCTGTACAATAATTCGGTGGAGGCATGGGGGAGAGCCTCCTCAAAGTCTCCCACATTAGAAGCGATAACCAAGACCAACCATCACAATCACGTAAATACATAAATAGGCATACATATAAATAACTTATCACATGTACAGACATTGTTCGTGGAGATCATTCAGATCACAATAAAAGAGCATTTACACACCGACCAATCACGTAAGCAAGTTGGGTTTTAAAATATTTTTCTACTGTCGACCGCCTACGTACTCACAAATAGATTGTGGAAAAGACCACTCAACATCAAACATTACGGTGCCTGGCCAGTACTCACGATTAAAAGGCAGTGAAAATTGATGTAATTGTCATTTAAGCGCTCATAAAGCAAGGCATATATTAAGAACGTTTTCAGTACATTAAGTTTTTTATACATTTTATTCACAGCAACGTTAGAAGTTTCTGAAAGTCTGCATTGGAGAAATAAAGGCATTTATATTGATGGAAAAACATGCTTTACCCTTTTGATTTAAAGCTTTCTTGACTGCAGTGATTCATATTCTTGGTTCTTTCGGTAAAGTCACGTTGAAGGGAAACAATAAAATAAAAATATATAAAATAATAAAATTCTCACGACGTTTCGACTGTAACACAAACAGTCATCATCAGGTGTGAAAACCAACGGCAAGAAACATTTGAAAGAAGTGGCGGTTTGTAATTATTTATTTTTAAACGTTAGCACCACGGATAGCGATTTTACAGTTTGTTTAGATGGACGAGTCCATCTATTGATTTAAAGCTTTCGTGACTGCAGTAATTCATATTCTTAGTTTTTTTCGGTAAAGTCACGTTGAAAAGAAACAACAAAATAATAAAATATATATATTTTTCAACGTGACTTTACCGAAAAAACTAAGAATATGAGTCCATCTATGTTCGGAAAAGAGGAGGGGGAAGACGAAAAATTAATGTATGCTGTCTGAAAGCCACCGTAAGCATGAACAATCAATTAAGACCCGAAATGGTTTATCAAATCCTTCCAATGATTGCTAAGCCAGAATCCATCTTCTCGGTTGAAATTGTCTCTGTGTTTGTATATGTGGATAGCCTCATGAACGAATCTCTCATGGTAGCCAGATGGCTTGCAAAGAACCTCTGTCTTGGAGAAGTCAATGTCATGTGAGCCTACTGAATTATAACAGTGATCTGCCACGGCCGAGGTGTTGGTCCTACCGTGTTTAAGGTCTGCTTTGTGTTCACGAATGCGGTCCGAGACATGTCGTTTGGTTTCTCCAATGGGTAGCTTTCCTATAGACAGAGTGGCTCATTGAACCATCAGGTCTCTTTTTTATTAGGACATCCAAAAAAGGTAGCTTGCCATCTTTTCGACTTCCATGGTAAATCTGTCTACAGGAAAGCTATCCATACGGATGCTTATCTGAAACCGGATTCCCACCACCATCCATCACAGAAGAATTCTCTCATCAAGACTCTGCACCATAGAGCCCAATGCATATCTGACCAGGAACACATAGGCAGTGAACTCAAGCACGTACACCAAGCTCTTAAGGCTAATGGTTACTCCGACTATACAATCCGCAAAGCTATCACTCAAACCATGAAGAAGGACCCTCTTGAGAAGCCTTTCAAAACCATCATTTTACCCTACATTGCGGGGATCACAAAAAAGATCTCCAAAATCTTGAATAAACACAAGATCCAGGTCCGTTTCAACACATTACATAAAATCCGTGATCTGGCTCCGTCTGTAAAAGATGTGATTCCGGACATATAGTACCTTGGTGTCTACAAACTAAGTTGCCTCTGTGGTAGTAGTTACATTGGAGAAACCAAACGACATGTCTCGGACCGCATTCGTGAACACAAAGCAGACCTTAAACACGGTAGGACCAACACCTCGGCCGTGGCAGATCACTGTTATAATTCAGTAGGCTCAAATGACATTGACTTCTCCAAGACAGAGGTTCTTTGCAAGCCATCTGGCTACCATGAGAGATTCGTTCATGAGGCTATCCACATATACAAACACAGAGACAATTTCACCGGAGAAGATGGATTCTGGCTTAGCAATCATTGGAAGGATTTGATAAACCATTTCGGGTCTTAATTGATTGTTCACGCTTACGGTGGCTTTCAGACAGCATAAATTAATTTTTCGTCTTCCCCCTCCTCTTTTCCGAACATAGATGGACTCGTCCATCTAAACAAACTGTAAAATCGCTATCCGTGGTGCTAACGTTTAAAAATAAATAATTACAAACCGCCACTTCTTTCAAATGTTTCTTGCCGTTGGTTTTCACACCTGATGATGACTGTTTGTGTTACAGTCGAAACGTCGTGAGAATTTTATTGTTTTATATATATTTTATTATTTTATTGTTTCCCTCCAATGTGACTTTACCGAAAGAACTAATAATATGCTTTACCCTGTTCAGATTTGCTACTAACAGTCCTTACAACAATTAATGGAAGTGAACTACAGGAAATTAAATACATAATTAATAAAGGCGGCTGCTCAGTTGTACCCAGGATAGACATGAGCAATAGGAACGTCACGTAAAACAACAACAACAACAACAACAAGTTCACTTAACTAGTGGAGAAGTCAAAGGCACACAACTAGAAAATAGCACGGTTTGGCTACATACGGAGTGAAAGAAGTTCAACATACAGCAGAATCTGTGGCGAGCAGAGAATGTCAGCAAATCAAAATCATGAAATAAAGAGACAAACGAGAGCAGGTTGCAATGCTCTTGTAAAAGTGAGCTTAATATAAAAATGAGCGTACCAATGCGCCTAAAGAAGAACGTTCTTAGGATGGCGTGAGGGGGGGGCTGAAAAGTGTGCAAAGGAGCACAGCGGTGCATGCTTGGAGTGACACACACAGCAAGAGGAACACATGCACTGGAAAACAATATTGACTTGTCAGACAAATAAGCTTGGGTAGAGCACATCCAGAGATGGGATGCGTGCCAGTGGTCGAGACTGACGATGAAGTGGCAGCCAGATGAGGGAAGGGGCCGGAGAGAAGATCCACCAGGGAGATGGAGTGATGAAATCAGCATTCGCCGCAGGTGCTCTCCGGATTGGTAAATCGCAGATTTGTGAAAGACGACGACGGCTTGGTAAATTACTTCATTCAGCAGTTGATAGATCACGGCTGATCATCACGATGCTGATGATGAAATAGGCAGTTTAACACATAGGCTTTTGCGACCAATATTATCCATAATAAAGGCTTTTTTCGGGTTAGATTGCGTAGATACAAATAGGACTGTCTTCACAATTCTGGCTATTGCCTGATGGAGCTGGTTGTAATCACCAGCGAAATGTCATATTCGAATTGTAAATTGTGTGAGTTTACTCTCCAACACACCGGTGTGCTGAACTAGTAGTGAATTGACACGTTTTGTTGATGTGACAAACCTTACTCATTGGCTGTCGGGTGGTGGCGGGTTTAACGACACATTTATATTTACACGATCTAACCCAAAAAAAACATTTATTATGGATGAAATAGGCAGTTTAATACATTGATGTTCTTTGTCCGCTCGCAGTCGGGAAGCTTTGTGGGACGGTGATGAAAGGCGACAGGGAGAGAAGTGGCCAGCTAGCGAGACGGGAGAGGGCACGCAGCGCCCCAGGAACCGCGGAGCTGCCATTGTCCCACACATCATCAGCTACACGCCACCACGGCGCGACAAAACGCTAAAATAAATAACGCGCGATCTTAACAGGAGCTAATACACATTACATACCATGTTACAATGCAGTCAGGTATAACTTAAAATGGTCTCAGTGGAACATTAAACATTGTTTGACACATTTTTAAAATTATAAAATAAATGTTAATTGTAAATAAATAAAGTTGAGTGTTTTTTTTTAATGCACCATAAATAATTCACCCAGGTTGTGTGTTTTCAGCAGAGATCCCATTAGTTTAACTTCAATGTCAGATCCACCGTTGTTGGAAATCCCGCTCGAGTATGCAGCGACTTGGTGTGACGACGTCCACAGCGGAAGCACCTCGACGGGCTGCTGCAGAAAACATCTGAGAGTTGTAAGTCGTCGTTTCACTCAGAGAGTCTCTTCCTTGATAGCGGTTCATCTCCTTGATTCTCTCAACAGCTGCGCAGTGAAAACTCTCTATGGTTCTGTTAGGCTTCTCGGATCACCAACATGTGCTCATCATCAAATGGTCCACCAACCCTGGTCGCTGAGCAAGATCGTATGTAAGGAAGTCGATGCTGAAACACGTTGTGTGCTTTCTCTTTCCCTCCCAAGAAGCACTTTTGTCAATAGTAAAACACAAACATGGATGCACATACCAACGTACTACAACAACAGTTGCCATTCACCCCTAAGTGGTGATGGTGATGTCACTTAAGTACCTGTGCCAGATTAGGTGTACTCTGTGGTCACATGAAGCATCGAAAACTCGCTGACAGTTCACAGGACATATCCATGTGTTAGCTATAACATAACTAAACTAGCAGTGGCATGACATGGTTGGAATAGGTGCAGATTCAAGGCAAGATATGGGGCTCCTTGTCCATTTCCTAAATTTCAGTAATCTGGCACCTGGGCCCCAGCAGCCAGAGGGCCACAGTTCAGTTGCACCTCCTGCACACTTGATAGCTACGCCACTGGCGCACACGCACACACGCAAGCACACAGACACAAATACCTTGATCCCCGGCCTCATCCTGCCTCAAATCACCGACTCGTGCGAGTGTTTGGATCGCCACTGGTGGCCGCGATGGTGCTGTGGGTCCTTGGAAAAGAAGGTGACGGTAACGGGGGCGGCCACCGCCACCTTCCCAGCGTCCTCCGTGGCGCCCCCCTCCTCGCTGCACACGTGGGTCGAGGGTTGCTGCGACGTGCCGCCAGCGCCCGCTGAGGAGGGCCACGAGGGCCGGCGCCGACGCGACGCCCCGGCCCTGTGGCCTCCGCCCGTGCCCAGCAGGCCCGAGCCCCTGCGGCTCCTCCTGTCCAGGTCCTGAGCCAGATTCCACTGAGCCCACGCCTTGCGGATTTCATTCTGAACCTGTGTGGGGAGAACACCTTGACACCTCAGTTGAACATTGAGGCTTTCACGACCTAATCCAAAAAATCTTTATTATGGACCTTGAAACCTCATTCAATAATTCACTCGATCATTTATATAATAATTAAATACATTTGGTACTCACGCCATTCTTACAGCGCAAAGGCCATCATCAGGAACACAGGTGCGGTGTTTCCCAGTGTGCAGTACTTTCACAAGTAGGGAACAATGCCACTATATGTAATCCCAATTGAGTAATTTGCAGATTTTTTTTCAATTTAGGAACTTTAAACCATAATGCCAGCAAACGGCCACCCCTCGATCTAAGCAGGGAACGTCATGGCATTATATTCATGCTCAATAGGTTACAACACAAGTCTGCAAAATATCTTCTGGATAATGTATTCCTCCCTGAGTAAATTCCCATGATGTGAGAAGCGCCTCCACCCTGTTCCTGCTGAAAGTCCTCCACTCCGTGAGAACCAAAGTCGGTTTAAAATCCATTCGTGTGGCGGGCGATAATCTCTAGAATAACCAAGCGAAAATGGTTGGGATAAACACCTCGGCATCCTCGTCATACGTGTACGTGCAAATGATCGCTCTGCTTTGTAGACTTTAAGTTACAAATGTTTTGTGTATGTGATGCATTCTACTAGCCTTGCATTTTTGTCTGTTGGTTGTACCATGTTGATGCACGACCTTGCCATTTGGAACTTGGCCACGTACAGTTGTTATTGGATTGTTTTATTCGTGTAATTTTTGTGGTTGCTGCAACCAGGTTTTCTATTGTGTAACTGGGCTCCCATTCAAAATGAGCGTTTATTGCCCAATGGGTTCTAACTGTGCAAAAATAATACCGAACAAAGCACACACTCTCCTACTCCTTTTGAATAACATCACGGGATATTTTAAACGTCCACTGGGAAGCAGACATGTGTACCTCTACAGTTCATTACACCCGCAGCATTAACCAGGGTGGCCTCCCGGATTCAAACCGCGAACCTCTGCGAGGATGAGCAGCGAACAAACTGCCCCGGCTTCATCACCATTTTCACTCGCAGCACACGATCCACTCCTTTGCAAAACGACCGTTAACTTCGTGCGTCATACTCGTTAAAAAAGACGAGCCCAAAGGAATAAACATTTATCTGCCCAACATGCAGATAATTCGCCATGAATGACCGCTGGTTTGAAAACGGCTCTTGATTGCTCTGACAAAAACCTGCTCACGTTCAACAAATATAAAAACCCAGTTGATGGTAATATCATGTAAGAGCTGACACTTCCCCTCTCACTCCCATCATATTTAATGATGTTATAGTTGGTCGCACTAAAACCATCAATCTGCTTGCCACAACAATCTGATCTGACCTGTCATGGATCGGCTGTGTTGCTATTGTGGCTAAGGACGAATCGAAGAAGCTTGGATTTATTTTCTGTGCCCAATTTTGCACTTCATTTCATTTTTTTGTATCGAGTGTTGAACCAGCTGGGCCAGGGTTGGGCAGAGATGCTGCCCATTTTTCACCAAGGCAACCGGACAGCACAGACTTAAGTATTTCTTAACTTATCACAAAAACAATTAATATTCTTAGCTCTTTCGGTAAACAATATATTTTATTATTTTATTGTTTCCCTTCAACGCGACTTTACCGAAAGAGCTAAGAATATGAATTACTGCAGTCACGAAAGCTTTAAATCAAAATTTAAAAACAATTAAATTAACAATTACATATATTTAAGGACACACAAGTTTAACAACAAATATACATCGACTTAAAGCTTTCGTGACTGCAGGAATCCATATTCTTGGATCTTTCGGTAAAGTCACGTAGATAGGATCAAAGAAAATAACAAAAATAACAAAAAACTACGATGTTTCGATCGCAACACAAGCAATCGTCATCGTCTCCTGATGACGATTGCTTGCAACATAAAATAAAAAAATAAAAAGCAGTTTCTCGTTCAAAAGAGCACAGGATAGGGTGGGTGAGATAATCCACAGGACAACCACTGTTGACTCCACAGAGTGGTACTCGTTTTACCATTCCCAGAGGGACGAGGGGCGTATGGACCCCAACTGGGATTTGAACTCCGAACCTTGTGATGGTGAGGCAGTGCACTCTTATCTAGCCAATGCATCACTCGACTGGAGGGGGTAGAATACTACAAGTAATATTTCATAGTGGGAGGGATAGGTTGGCTACGTACGGCGGGAAAGAAGTTCAACACAGATACATGATGCTATGAACCTGGTTACCTGACTTCATTTCCCAGCCACGGCTAACGTAAGTGGCGAGTTATATCGGTTCTAGTTGAACCCTTTAACAAACCAGTGGTGAATAATGGTGAAAAAACCTCACGGGTTTGGCATTGCATGTAGAAGCCTTCATACAGTCGTGGATTAACAAGTGGCTGTGAATTATTGCAGCTCAGCTGCCCGCTACGACACCAGTTCAGCTACTCGTTACCACGCGAAATGCAAGGATGAATACAAAATGTCAGTGACAGATGAACTGAGATATGATCACCGCAATATTATCAGCCTGCCACTTACATTACAGCAATTGTTAAACATCACAAATTATATTTCGATTTAATATATAGTATCGTAATTGTATAGCGAATATATAAAGTGAATATACAGCAGTGTGGTATACAGTAGGGTTGGTAGAATAATACATAGTGTAATATTACAAGTCTAATATTTTATAGTCTAAAGTATAGGGTAGTGTATAGTAACGCATTGTATAATTCAAGGGTGGGGTTTGTCTATGGCAGTGTATATTACGGTGTATAGTCGTGTAATGTAGAAAAAAGTTTAGTTGGAGACATATCAATATAATGCATAATGTTAGAGCTTACATTGGGGGGTGTATACGACATTATACAATGTAGTTTAGATTGGAAGGTATAACATTGCAATGTATAGTAGTCTAATTCATAACAAAGTTGTAACGCAACACAGGACAGAGCAGCGCATCGTGGCTGTTTCTCCCCCCTCCTCCGTTCCGAGCATAGATGGACTCGTCCGTCTGAACAAAGCTCGTCGCTTTCCGTGGTGCTAACGTTGAAAAGAAAAAACCGCCACCCATTTTTTAGCCATATGGCATTGTAATGTATAACGTCTTATTGTTAGTAGATCAGCTGTATGGAGAGTATATTGAGTTTATTGATAACATTGATGTAGTTTATATTTTAGTTTTTTATTAGTTTACTATATGCTATTCATTATATAGTGTAGTGTATACCCAGTTACTTTATGTTAATAGCTCAACTTATTGAAGAATATATTGAGTACATTTATTATATTGATGTAGTTTATACTTAGTTTTTTCACATCGGTTTATTGTATGATAGTTGGGTAGTTGCAGTCCTTTAGCGTCCATATACTAAATGCCTCTGTTGATATATAAACTTTGACTTTAACATAGCTATTTCCGTGACCAGTTACATGCTAATCCCTCACATTAACATCATGCTAATCTCCCAGTTACATGCTAATTTATAACTTTAGCACCCTGTTGATCCAACACTTTAACACAGCTATTTCAATGCTAAATTCTCCTGTTTGATATGTAAACTCCTTTGTCAAGGTGCTTTACTTCTCCCACCCAGCTTAAAAGACGCTGCAAATCTTAGCAGCGTTCATTGAAGCGCTGTCGTCCCGACAGTTCTGTTCCTTCACCTGAAGAAGGCTACTTGTGTTGTGGCCGAAACGTCGTGAGAATTTTATTTTATTATGTTTCATTTTTATTATTTTATTTCCATTCTACGTGACTTTACCGAAAGAACCAAGAAGATGAATCACAAATTATTTGAAATAAGTAGTTAGATTTCCACTGTTCCAATCGTTGTGTGAAAACACTGTGGAAAGGGAACGTTGTTAATCCATCTCCCATGACCACTCATTACTCACGGCACTCTGCGCTGTCACCCAGCACAGAGTTTTCCCTTCCCAATGTACATTTCTAAACTCGCTTAATGGTTTTGCGATCAACTGTATATTTCGTTGCAACGAACATTGCACGAACATTGAGGAGCGCGATATCGAGTCAATGCCGGTCTGGCACCTGGCGCTGTTCGTGGATGCCCAGCGAGCACAACGCTAAACTTGTTTTTGCCTCGTTATTTATGCGGTGCTCGTCTCGAGGCAGAAGACATTAAAAGTTCAAGTCGAGGGCAGTCGGCGCATTTCAAATTAAACCCGGCTCTACGATCTCGTTATTTTTTATGCGTAATGAGGCGTGCGACGTTCAAAATATCCAGCGGCACCGGTCAGAGGGCAGTGCGCTCCCGCCCCCACCCCCCCTACCGCACCCAAGGACGGACGCCTCCAGTGTGTGCTCACGTCCGCGTGGCACGGGAGACGCTCCCCTTGCGAGACGCATTGCAGCACTATTTTTGCCAATCCTAATTGGCAATTCATAACGGCCGAGAAAGCCTCGTATGGAGGACGATTGTTTTTGTCTGGATAAACCTCAAGCGCAGGGAAAGAATAGCAATCATTACTTATCTCCGGCTCGCACGCTCGCCGCAACGACGGGGAGCGGCCGGCTTAGAGTCAGCAGCGTGAAATGAGGGGTTAAGAGGCGATCGCCCTGGGCCCGTCGCTGTGGCAGCGCGAGTGGAGAGCGCTCTGTATAATCGCCGTTCCTCGTGGGTCGGTCCCCCGTATGGGGGCCGCCCCGTGCATCCCGTCGTTGCCCGCCCTAAGTGCAAACGGCCGCGCTTAATTCACGCCCCCACGAAAGATCCAGACGCGGCCGTCGCTGCCGCCGTGGGCGAGCGCGTTCCGAGGCCGCTCGGTCGACGGCCACCGCGTCGGGTTGAGCAATGAAACGAAGTCGTTTCCGGATTGGCGTCGCGCAGGGCGACGCTTCCGCGAGAACGGATCGCATGTTCGCAACTCACCTCCCCATTGCAGAAGCAGTAGATGATGGCCACGAATAAGCCCTGCGGGGAGACAATGACGGCAGGAGGTTGAGCAATGACATGTCACGCAATCCGGCAACGGGAGTGACATGGCCACGGACAGGGCAGTGAGCGAGCGGACAAATGGGGATTATTGAGTGAGCAAGCGAGGCAATGAGTGAACAGGTAAACGAGTGAGTGAGCAAGAGAACAAGTGATCGAGTAATCGAGGGAGTGAGTGAGTGAACAAGCAATCAGGTAAGTGGGTAAGTAAGCGAGCAAGTGAACAAATTATTGAGTAATCGAACAAATGAGCTGGTATCACAGGGAACCTGGAGCGAGTTGAAGAACATATCGAAGTACATGCGCGCCTTCCAGAGCCACCCGTCCACGGATTCCGACATGCCGGCAAACACCATGTAGTGCGCTCCGAACAGCAGCGTCAGCACGAGCGAGGACTTCGCCAGTTTCCTGCGAGTGCAGACGGCCGTCAGTCAGTGCCGCTCTGCGCTCCCGAGGCGGCGCTTCCGTTTAGCGTCGTGACTGCATCAGGGCGTTGGGTTGTTCCTTTTTCATCAGAGAAGCCGGTCAATTGAGTGTTTTGCGGTGAACAGAGGTGTCATGAAAACGACTGACGAGAGACAAATTTAACCACGTGGTGGAGGCGGAATAGAAAAGCAAAGAGAAGCAGAGGGAGACAGCGGTAGAGACAACAGCAGCGAGATGACATCGCAGATTTCGGAGGTTACGAGTGGGCAGGAGCGACTCAGGAAAGTAAGGAAGTAAATGAAATGAAATGGGGGAGGCCCTTTGTTACAGGTGAAGAGCAATGACAACCAGTAACATCATTTGTAGCTCGTGTTTTTCAGCCCGTGTTTTTTCCCCTGATGAATATTTGCATGTTGATTTATGGACGCACAATTATTAATAAACATCATGCATTTATATGCATAAGTCCGACTCTCTTTACACTGCACGGAGTTCATAATTCAGGCAGCCTGTGAGTAATAAGGCCGAGTCCCGTAGATGCTGCCGTTTCGACTGGGCACCCCACAGCGTGCGACTGGGCACCCCAGAGCGTGAGACTGGGCACCCCACAGCGTGCGGGGTATTTATTCTCATGCCCCACGAAGGTGCTCCGTGCTGTGAACGATCATAATTACGAATGAACCAATCACTCTCTCCATCTTCGGCTCCCTGCCCACCATGCAGCCCTGACTGTGCCAACTCACGTGTACTGACGCCGAGCATCATAGCGGCCGGCGTTCGTCTCCCGTAGTTTCGTCGCCAGGACACGAACGATGTTGACAAAGAAAGCGAAATTCACCTGCGGGCAACAGCGGCGCCGATCGCGCCTCTTAGGCGGAAACTCCCAGCGAGGTCTGGATGGTGACGGTGGAAGAGGAGGCAGTGGAAGGGGAGGAAGTGCAAGGGGAGGAGGTGCAAGGGGAGGCGGTGGAGAGGAGATGACCTAACACCATCCCAAGGTGTGATGATGCCTGACTCGTACTGACGAGGGGTTCACTTGCCCGAGGGCAGCGGCGACGCCGGGAATCAGCGGAAGCTAAATGCACAATTTCCAACCTGACCGATTTAAACTGTATGCTGCCGAAATTGAAACAATTTTACCACGTACTGACGTAATTACAAAGCTATTCATATTGCGTTATATTTACATTTAAAACATTTCTTCATGCAATAAAAAAAAATCGGTATGTGGTCAAAGGATTTAAATATTGACTGCCTCCCGCTTAAATCGGTGGTGGGTCTGGAAAGTATGCTGCCATAGCAATGTCGAATTTCTACCACTGCCTGATGGCTGTGAATGGACACAGGAACCGCGAACCTCTCCTGGTCTGAGCACAGAGATGCCGGCCTTGGCACTGTGGCATTGTCTGTGACTGTCCTTTATGCTGGAGCGCCACTTACTGTGTTTGCAATGATCATGGGTGCCTGGTAGATCCACTTAATGTTGCCGGCGTTGATGTTCCAGCATCTGGAAATGAATTCACATCACGCACACTAATATCATAATTTTAGACCCACCAATGCTGGATAAACGCCTCCCCATGCCGTGTGAGGAAATTCTTTTTTTTTATACCCAACTTTACCAGACTGGGCAGTGCAAGTTGGTAATGGAGGGGAGGGGTGCCCGGACCGGTTCAGAAAATCACTCGCAACTTAGGTTAGCCATGTCCAGGAATCAAACTCAAGTAGCAGGGTCCATAGCGCAGAGCATGGCAACAGTCTACCCGAGCACACAATATAGCCAGATGAGACACCGTCAACACCGGAGGTGACAACACGTCAATGGCACTGCTTTCTGTGACTGTGCAGTCTACAAATAAAGAATGAGCGGCAACGTTTGCTGCAAAAGTCACGCAGCGATCGGCTGCCCTTGCCGCACGATGAATTCAATCTTGATTTGAAGATTTCGTGACTTTAGGAATCCATACTCTTTGGTTCTTTCGGTAAAGTCACGTAGGTAGAACATAAAATACATCCCAATGCAGGACCCTGCATTGGGATGTTTGGCCAATATGACTAATGTTTTACATGTCAGAAGAAACTGGAGTAGCCGGAGAAAATCAAGACATTTGTGACTCTATCCAGTGAGGGGACCAAACTCTCTGTGGACCAAACCCATTGCTGTACTGCCATTCCCTGGCACTTACCAGCCCCACGACTGCATCGACTGGCATGCACTGGCTGAGACCGAGAGGCCGGACAGCAGAAGCAGACGAAGACTGTGGTATGGATACCGTGCAGGAGAAATGTTGACTGTGCGCAGGAATCGTCATGGTTACGTTGCGGTGACGACAAAACGAACCGATACACAACGTGAAGCAAACGCCTTGCTGAAGGCGCGTTGACTAGGGGCGTGGACACATTATCTGTGTATCCTGGCGTGAGTAACCTGGGGGGTGGGGTGAGGGAGCACTGCACCGAAAAGTTTGAGAACCACCGAGTGAAAACCAAGGGGGCACACAACCCACGACCGGTTGCTCGGACACAAAAATATTTGGCTTTGTTGTTGGAATTAATGGCAACGACCTTGCAGACACACGGCTGTGATAACAACCTGGGCAATCAGGAGTCGCTGGTCCCGTGGGAAATTTGGAGCTTGTTTGGTTTGCGCTCTTCCTATTTTTGGGTTTTCATTCAATTGTCAATTAACAGGCGTTTGTGCAAGCTCGTTGCACAGTATTTTCAGATGACATTGTATTTTAAATTATTTGCGGATGTGCTTTTTATTTATTTTATATATAAAAATTACTTTCTGTACATTTTGTGGAGTTAGTGGCTCATAGGGAGTGTAAGTTAGCAGATAAAATCCCAGCCAGAGGCAGACTGATATCACAAACAGCATGGCCATCAGAATCAACGTCGTTGTCATCATTCAGCATTCACTTAATCATTATTATAGTTATCGTCATCATCATGATTGTCATCAATCGTTATCCTTTTGGGGTAATGAAATGAGTACTGCTCCAAATGAGCATTGGCTGTTCTCACGACAGGTCCAGCCACAGTAATGTGGAATATCCATCACTGGCTAGTGGCACTGTGTGTGGTGCTGGCGTGAGCACGACGGAGATCGGTGAGCGAGGGGGAGCCAAGCGACGATCGCTCCTCACCTGGTGTCGGCGAGCACGGCACGCACGACGGCCCAGGCGCCGACGAACAGCGTCGGGAACCCTGGGCGCCCAACGCCACCATTGCGCAACAAAACAACAACGACATCGAGCGGCCGAAATAAACAAAATCAACAACACAGTCAGGCACAGATAAATGGATTGGAGCGGACAATTGCAGGGGCCGTATCTCGTCGCGCGCCACGTATGCATGAGGCTCTCTCTGGGGGAACGCGGTGCCTCCGAGATAACCTCCCCCCGCACCCCTCTATTTGTGGCCGGGCACCGGCTGGCTCGCTCTGTGAGAAGAAGCCACGACGCTGTCTTTGTGCATGCGGCGGTGGTGGCGGCAGCAGCAGCTGCAGCAACCGCCGGCTGTGTCCCTACTTGCTCTGCAGTGCCTGCACCATGGAGTGCGCGCAGTGGAATTCTGGGTTACCATAGGGACTAGGGTTGCGAGTTTACATTTAACAAATGGCCTCCAATTAAATTGAAAAGATTAAAAAGCAACTGGAAGATTACGCTCGCCACCTTCAAGTTTCTCCATGGCCTCTCCTCCCTCTTCTACTCTCAATCTACACTCCTCCACGCACTCTCTGCTACCCAGGTAAGGCCAGACTGAGCTATATAGCTCTTTTTCAGAAGCGACCTGGCCACAAATGATAGCCTAATGGAATGGCTTATCACGTGGAAATTTACAGCTTGAGCCAAAGACTCTAAAACCTCCAGTCCAACCTCTGTCGGAGGTCACTCCTCTCTTTTGCCCACTCGGTCTGCAACTTCCCCCCTCCACCCCCGCCCGTTTGAATGGGCCCTTTTCACTTTTCGAAAGTGTTCATCGCAGTATCCATGACCTCTCACCCCAGCCGATGAAGATGTAGGTCCACAGGTGTTTGGTGCGGTTGGAGAAGAAGCTCATGAAGACCAAACTGTGCAGGTAGAGACCCTCGGCGAACACCCAGTAGTAGTTGGTGGCCAGGAAGTAGAGGAAGAAGATGACGGACAACTTACAGCCCAGCTGCGGAGAGAGCACGGAGTGGCGCGTCAGTTCAGACGTCGCCCTCGGGGGATTCTCTGCGGGCAATGTCCCTTGTACAGAGCTCTGACGGGACGATTGTCATCATCGGCGACGGTCAATCCACTGCTGGATGAAGGCCTTCCCTGAAGCCACGGCCCACCTCTCGCGACCGTAATCATCCACGCGGTCAACGCCGATTACGTCGTACGCACGCACGCACGGACGTACGACGATCGACGGGGCCTTCGTTTTCAGGGCCAAACGATGCAGTGAATAAAGCAGGCGCCTCCGAGATGCGAGAAGCATCTCGGAGGAGGCCAGCCGGTCGTCAGCAGGATGACAAATGCACGCGGAGCACCGCATAATTGGGGGTCGTCGTGCCGAGGGACGTGCGAAGCGGTCCCTCGGCTGCGGTCTGCAAGCGATAAGCGAGGACGACGCTGACGGCGTCGCTCCGAGTGACGGAGCCGTGCCGGAGGAACTCCAGCCGGTCTGCGTCTCCTGCTACGGGGCCGTCACCTGCGAGTCCGCCTGCCTCGTTTGTACCTCCAATTAAACCCCGGGTTCGTTTCAAACAATACATCTTGTGCTTTTAATAGCGCACCTACAGTCAGGCAATTATCGATAAACTTACCAGAGAATTACGATTGCTGTGCAGAGGCGTGGCCGTGTGTGTGCAGTGAGTGGTGTGTGTGTGTAGTGGGTGGTGTGTGTAGTGGGTGGTGTGTGTAGTGGGTGGTGTGTGTAGTGGGTGGTGTGTGTGTGTAGTGGGTGGTGTGTGTAGTGGGTGGTGTGTGTAGTGGGTGGTGTGTGTGTAGTGGGTGGTGTGTGTGTAGTGGGTGGTGTGTGTGTGTAGTGGGTGGTGTGTGTGTAGTGGGTGGTGTGTGTAGTGGGTGGTGTGTGTAGTGGGTGGTGTGTGTAGTGGGTGGTGTGTGTGTAGTGGGTGGTGTGTGTAGTGGGTGGTGTGTGTGTGTAGTGGGTGGTGTGTGTAGTGGGTGGTGTGTGTAGTGGGTGGTGTGTGTGTAGTGGGTGGTGTGTGCAGTGAGTGGTGTGTGTGTGTAGTGGGTGGTGTGTGTGTAGTGGGTGGTGTGTGTGTGTAGTGAGTGGTGTGTGTAGTGGGTGGTGTGTGTAGTGGGTGGTGTGTGTGTGTAGTGGGTGGTGTGTGTGTAGTGGGTGGTGTGTGTAGTGGGTGGTGTGTGTAGTGGGTGGTGTGTGTAGTGGGTGGTGTGTGTAGTGGGTGGTGTGTGTGTGTAGTGAGTGGTGTGTATAGTGGGTGGTGTCTGTGTGAAGTGGGTGGTGTGTGTGTGTAGTGGGTGGTGTGTGTGTGTGTAGTGGGTGGTGTGTGTAGTGGGTGGTGTGTGTGTGTAGTGAGTGGTGTGTATAGTGGGTGGTGTCTGTGTGAAGTGGGTGGGGCGTGGGTGTAGTGAGTGGTGTGTGTGTAGTGGGTGGTGTGTGTGTGTAGTGTGTGTGTAAAGTGATTGGTGTGTGTGCAATGGGTGGTGTGTGTGTGTAGTGAGTGGTGTGTGCAGTGGGTGGTGTGTGTGCAGTGGGTGATGTGTGTGTGTAGTGAGTGGTGTGTGTGTGTAGTGGGTGGTGTGTGTGCGTAGTGGGTGGTGTGTGTGTGTAGTGAGTGGTGTGTGTGCGTAGTGGGTGGTGTGTGTGCGTAGTGGGTGGTATGTGCGTAGTGGGTGGTGTGTGTGCGTAGTGGGTGGTGTGTGTGCGTAGTGGGTGGTGTGTGTGTAGTGTGTGTGTAAAGTGATTGGTGTGTGTGCAGTGGGTGGTGTGTGTGTGCAGTGGGTGGTGTGTGTGTGTGTAGTGGGTGGTGTGTGTATGTAGTGGGTGGTGTGTGTGTGTAGTGGGTGGTGTGTGTGTAGTGGGTGGTGTGTGTAGGTGTGTGTAGGTGTGTGTGTAGCGTGGTGTCATGTGCGGAGTGAAGGCTCCAGCCCCCCTTCTAAATTCTTATAATCTAGATGTATTCATTTTTTACATCGACTATCATGTCCACGTTGAGTTTTTGTATGATCCCCCCCGCACCCCACTTTGAATGAGCTCCACACTGCAGGGATGGCGCGTGGTGGTGAGGTGTGTGAAGTGGTGAGGTGTGTGAAGTGGTGAGGTGGTGAGGTGGTGAGGTGTGTGAAGTGGTGAGGTGGTGAGGTTTGTGAAGTGTGAGGTGGTGAGGTGGTGAAGTGGTGAGGTGGTGAGGTGGTGAGGTGGTGAGGTGGTGAGGTGGTGAGGTGGTGAGGTTTGTGAAGTGGTGAGGTGTGTGAAGTGGTGAGGTGGTGAGGTGTGTGAAGTGTGAGGTGGTGAGGTGGTGAGGTGGTGAGGTGGTGAGGTGGTGAGGTGTGTGAAGTGGTGAGGTGGTGAGGTGGTGAGGTGGTGAGGTGTGTGAAGTGGTGAGGTGGTGAGGTGGTGAAGTGGTGAGGTGGTGAGGTGGTGAGGTGGTGAGGTGGTGAGGTGGTGAGGTGGTGAAGTGGTGAGGTGGTGAGGTGGTGAAGTGTGAAGTGGTGAGGTGGTGAGGTTTGTGAAGTGGTGAGGTGGTGAGGTGGTGAGGTGTGTGAAGTGGTGAGGTGGTGAGGTGGTGAAGTGTGAAGTGGTGAGGTGGTGAGGTTTGTGAAGTGTGAGGTGGTGAGGTGGTGAGGTGGTGAAGTGGTGAGGTGTGTGAAGTGGTGAGGTGGTGAGGTGGTGAGATGGTGAGGTGGTGAGGTGGTGAAGTGGTGAGGTGTGTGAAGTGGTGAGGTGGTGAGGTGGTGAGGTGGTGAGGTGTGTGAAGTGGTGAGGTGTGTGAAGTGGTGAGGTGGTGAGGTGTGTGAAGTGGTGAGGTGGTGAGGTGGTGAGGTGTGTGAAGTGGTGAGGTGTGTGAAGTGGTGAGGTGGTGAGGTGTGTGAAGTGGTGAGGTGGTGAGGTGGTGAGGTGTGTGAAGTGGTGAGGTGTGTGAAGTGGTGAGGTGGTGAGGTGTGTGAAGTGGTGAGGTGGTGAGGTTTGTGAAGTGTGAGGTGGTGAGGTGGTGAGGTGGTGAGGTGGTGAGGTTTGTGAAGTGGTGAGGTGGTGAGGTGGTGAGGTGGTGAAGTGGTGAGGTGGTGAGGTGGTGAGGTGGTGAGGTGGTGAAGTGGTGAGGTGGTGAGGTGTACCTCTCAGCCATGCCACGGCCGACCCACTCGGGGTCACGAGTGGGTCCAGGCCACTCGTGACCCCGACCCACTGGCTCGGGTCGCGGTGATCGCGGTGTGAGAGGAAAAGGGGGGAAAGAGGGGGGGGGGGGGAAGGGGGGAGGGGGGGAGGGGCTACTGGCACCCCGACGCTGCGCCGCGACCGCGGTCGTCGCTGAGCGACTTGTGCCGGGTGGGACCGATTGCGACATCGCTCCACCCTGGACCCCATCGCCTCCACCCTGGACCCCATCGCCTCCACCCTGGACCCCATCGCCTCCACCCTGGACCCTATCGCCTCCACCCTGGACCCCATCATCTCCACCCTGGACCCCATCGCCTCCACCCTGGACCCCATCGCCTCCACCCTGGACCCCATCGCCTCCACCCTGGACCCCATCGCTCTCACAGCGCGCCGTGGGCGAGTGCAGGCGACGATCGCCGAGGCGGCGGTGCCCCACAGCGATCAGCGCCTGGGTCTGAGTCGCCGTTCTGTGAGCAGTGAGCCGGCCCTCCCCGCGCTCTGTGAGCAGTGAGCCGGCCCTCCCCGCGTTCTGTGAGCAGTGAGCCGGCTCTCCCCGCGCTCTGTGAGCAGTGAGCCGGCCCTCCCCGCGCTCTGTGAGCAGTGAGCCGGCCCTCCCCGCGCTCTGTGAGCAGTGAGCCGGCCCTCCCCGCGCTCTGCCTGGGTTTCCTCTGGGATCTCCGGTTTCCGCACACAGATAACAAAAAACACACTGGCGAAGCGTCGTACTCAGATTGTAAATGTTGTGGCTTGGCTCTCCAACACACCGGTGTGCTGTACTAGTGACGAATTGGCATGTTCTGTTTACGTGACAACCCCTTACTAGTTGGCTGTGTCGGGTGGTAGCGGGTTTAACGACACAATTATATATTTTCGCGATATAACCCCAAAAAAAACCTTTATGATGTAATTGTTGTTGGCCAAAACATTTCAATGCTGAAAAACGACCCGCAAATGACTCAACAGGGGATGACAAAGAGCAGCACGCGGGGCCGGCCACACCACCGCCGACGGCTCCGCCTGCCTCGTCCGCAACGCCGCTCGCGACCCCCGAGGCGCGGACCACGGCAGCTGTGCCGCCCGCAGCAACTGCTGCTGCTGCTGCCGCTGCTGCAGCGACTAACTGCTGCTGCAGCGACGAGCTGCTGCCGCTGCTGCAGCGACTAACTGCTGCTGCAGCGACGAGCTGCTGCTGCTGCCGCTGCTGCAGCGACTAACTGCTGCTGCAGCGACGAGCTGCTGCTGCTGCCGCTGCTGCAGCGACTAACTGCTGCTGCAGCGACGAGCTGCTGCTGCTGCTGCTGCCGCTGACGGCGCCACGCCGTGTCCACGGGACGCGGCCGGCGGTGGGGAGGGGCGGGCAGTGTTGGGGTGGCGGACTTGGAGCAGCAGTCGCAGCAGCAACAGAAGAAGCATCATTAACAGCATCATAGACAGCAGCAGAAGCAGCAGCACCCAGCAGCCCCCCCCCCCCAGTCATAGCAGCAGTAAAACGAGTACCGGCGGCAGCAGTAGCTGCTGCAGCAGCGGAGTGGGGGTCAGGACCCCTGGGGGGGGGTGTCCGCGTGTCGCGCGTGCAGAGACGCTCACGTTGATGAAGCAGCGCGCCAAGATAAATGACCTCGCACACTGCAGCGCAGTGAAATATGAACCAGAGAATGGAAACCCTCGAAATCGAGTGACAGCCCAATGAGACAATGCATTACATGCAACGTTGCGATGTGCTCACGGTTATAAATACCTCGCAAGTAACTCTCGGGATACGATATATTAGAGGCCTAGCCAAGTCACTGCTCGTCAAACGCCGCGGCTAGGCCATGTCAGTCTGGAGGGTTGTTTAACCATACTTCACCACGCTAGTTCGTGTGTGTAGGTCAACATGACTGGTGTAATAAGTACCCCATACATATATAACAATTTTAATTATATAAACACGGAATCTATTGATATCAATCATATAATTTATGAATGAGCTTTCACCTGATTCAATTATTTACTAAACTGTCATATCCAAGTGCCTCGCTGATCAAACGAGTGTTGGTGCTGTGCTCGTGGTGGAAATTCCACGTGCCCATGGCAGACGCCAGTCCCTCCGCAGGACAAGTGCTGTTGACAACTCACAAAGCGGTACAACTCACAATGCGTTGTTGTGTCAAGGTAATGCGCAGTGTTGCGATTGCGGGCTCATTGCCAGTGCTGGCTAAAGGACCTCCACTAGGGGGAGCTCTCTTTATCCCCCTACCGTGGATATTTTCGCTCAACTCCTCCACAATGACCACACCTCTCTTCTTTAAGTTTTTATTGCAACAAAACGGGAGCCCCGCTACAATGCGCCAATGGACTTTAGGAGGGGTGGTGGGGAACAGAAAATCGACGAGAATTACAGCTGACCGTCCGTAGTGGGAGGGGGGATCGTGCCTGCAGCCCCAGCCAAGTGGGGACCCCGCGTTGTGGGGGGTTGAATATTTATATGGGGGAGAGGGGGGGAATGGCCAGACATCTTTAAAATTACGTATGAGTACCCTAACTTTACCCCCACCACGTGAGACCTGGAGATCCACTGACCGTGGTGAACGCATTCACAAGCACCGCCGATGAGGACGGTTAGCTATATACGGTGCAAAAGAAGTTCAACACGCGTACGCACACATTCATACGGCTGGGCGGACTGGGGCAGCGGCCAGACGGAGGGGGAACTCACGTAGGGGGACTTGTCGAGCGTCGGCACGGCCGTGAAGGTCCGTAGCTCCTCCAGCAAGACCGCGTCGGCGTCGCCGCCCTCGGCCCAGGAGCCCACGATGGCCCCCGCCTTGGGCATCACCGCCTCGATCATGATGTTGCACACGAAGAAGCTCGCCCCTCGCAGGATGAAGGACACGAACAGGTGCATGTGGATGTAGTTGCGTGTGCAGTGCAGCTTCCTTAGGCACAGCGGGGAGAGGATGGGAGAAGGCTTTACTTCCACCCGGGTGAAATTTAATTTCACCTGGGTTGGCGACCCAGAATATTTCTGCACGCCCGACGCAACCGCACCCGGTGTACCTCTTGCTGCAAGTACAAATCACGTGTCACCTACCGCAATCCGCCAGCGATCCAGAAAACATTCCGTGAGAAATTAAACGCTGGGAGTATTTATCAGGTGTGAGGCGGAACAACTGCACCAGGGCCCAAGGGCCAGACGGGCCTAGATGGTTAGAGTTAGGGGTAGGGCTAGCTTTCGGCTTGCGTGCTTTTCCCACAAATTGGGTGCCTCCCCTTCCCTGTCGCAAATGACGGCCTTCTCCTTTACCATCTCCGCCGCTCAATTCCGGTGTTCGCGGCACCTGCACGGGAATCTCACTCGGGAATGCCACGGCAACCTCGCCACCTGCACTGCGTCTCTCGGGACGGGGAGGGAACCACGTCGGGCGGAGCCGCTGATCCGATCGGTGGGATCAGCGGCTCCTGCGTCGCTCCCCAGCCCCATCCCCCCGACTCCCCCAGGGGTTCGTGCTGCGCGAGCGTGCGGGGAAGGGGCCTCGGTGGTGTCCGTCACTGGCTCGCCTCTTGCAGCAGCCGCAGCCGTCGCCCCGAGCGCACCGCGCCGCTTGCCCACGAGCCCCAGAATCCTCAGCTTCAGCTTCTATCCAATTTACCAAATGCCCTTTAATTAGTGTCTATTAAGCCGGCCCCATTTAGCATTCTAACTCGGTTACTCGCAGGGCTACAAAAGGCCACAAATAAATAATCAATTGCCAAACTGCTTGGGAAGGGAGGCGGCCGAACCCCCTCAGAGCTCAAATCCTGGGGGTCTTTACGGTTCGATCGACACAATAAGTGTGATTGTTTGGCGCGCGATCACAGCCCGCGGCAAACCGCGCCGCTCCCAACAAACGGCGCTGGCAGCCAGCGCCAAAGTGACTGAGACCTCAAGCCGCTATCATCGATAGCGGGAGAATGAGGACGCAGACTGTGTGTGTGCGTGCTTGCGTGTGCGTGCATGCATTGTGTGCGTGTGCTTGTGTGCGTGTGTGCATTGTGTGCATGTGCGTGTGTGCATTGTGTGCATGTGCTTGTGTGCGTGCGTGCGCGCATGTGTGCGTGTGCGCGTGTGTGTTCGTGCGCGTGTGTGTGCGCGTGTGTGCGTGTGTGTGTGCGTGTGTGTGTGTGTGCGTGTGTGTGTGTGTGTGCGTGTCTGTGCGTGTGTGCGTGCGCGCATTTCACGCAAGTCACACAGTCAGCGTGGGATGGCGAGATTGCTCGGAGTTTCAGGCGTCTTGTTAAAATGGAATTAGGATTTTTTAATTTACAGCTAAAGTGTCTTTACTGCAAAGACTCGCTGAGCTGCGCACGTCTCAGTTACACGCGCGACAGCCAAGAGAAAACAATAATTGATTTTTGATGATTATCCGGGTCAGGGTAATTAGGCCTGGCCACAGACGCTATTGAGCTGTGGTGACATTTAAGCAGACACGAGCGTTGGCACCTTTGCTCTTCGTCAACAACGAATGCCACGAGAGCATTAATGTCCAATTTGGATGAGACTATTTGTGCTTCTGAAAAGTGACTTTAGGCATTTTTCCAACTGCTTGAGCTCCTGTAAATCACCCCCCTCTGTTTGGCCTAAACAAGAGGATCGAGTGCTGCTGGCGAGCAACTTTCAAATCCTGCGCGTCGCAGGAAGGCGTTGTGGTCGTGTGGCTGGCACCACACACAACTTGTCACCTTTATGATAAAGGTGACAATTCGTAACAGCGCGCCACCACACAGCAACCGCTCGCTCTCCAACAGAGAAAGAGGACAACCCAGAGGCGCGAGGAGGAGCCACAGGCAAGTGGCGAAGGCAACAACCATGTGATGAACTGGTCTTCTACATATGAAGGTGTTGTTAGCCAATGAGTCAGTGTTGACATGCGGAAGTAAACCGGAGCACTCGGAGATGTCATTCAGGGGGGGCAACGCTCTGCCCCTAAAAGATGGAATAGACAGAGTCCACATGTTTGCTGTACTGCTCTCTCCTGAGGGGCCAGGTTATGGCACGCCCATGGGGTTCCACAGCATCTGTGCGATTCACCAAACCTCGCTTCCACAGTGCTGGATCAGTGCTGGATGACAGGCCATCACTGCCCAGTGTTGGTGTTTAAAACAGAGCACTGGGGATTCGTTGAGGCCGAGTAAACCTACAGCAGGTCCAAGTAAATGTGGATGCCACGGTGGCGAGATGTTAACTACCTCATATGGGTTGGATCCCGACCATGACGCCTGTATATTCGGAGTTCTCCCCGTGGTCACGTGGTTTTTTCTCCGAGTCCTCGGGTTTTTCCTTCCATATTTAGAATCAACAACACGCGTTTAGAGTATTTGGCTGCAATAAAGTCACTTCATTGAGCTATCATTTGTGGCCAGGTCACTTCTGAAACAGAGCTATATAGCTCAGTGGGGCCTTACCTGGTAAAATAAAAAAATAGTTTATTAACAGTTGAATGTCCAGTGTGGCCACGCAGACCTACTTGAGGTAGGCGAGGATGGAGAGTGCGACGAAGAGCGAGGCCATGGACACCGAGTAGCCGATGGTGGAGAGCGTGTACAGGCGGTGGATCTCCTACGCTCGCACAAAGACAAAGGTCCTCTAGAGCCTACACAGGTTGTTGGGACAAGGTGCTGTTGGCGAGCACTTACACAGGCCGACTCGGCACCACGCCCCGGCAGTCTTCGTCTCCCCAGTGCTGATGTTTACACACCGCATCAGGTACTCGTTTTGGCTGAGTTCACCTAGGGGAGGCCCGTGAACGGTTCATATATTCATCACTAAAGTGGCTGCACACACACATGCAGAGCCATACAGTATATGCAAATGCACATGCAAGAACACATGCACAAACATGTGCACACAAGTCATACACAATTGCACAAACACACAAATGCAAATACACATTTTCACAGCCATAAACATAGGGAAACATAAAGACACAAAGAAATATAAACACAAGCACGCATGCATGCATGTTGTATATAAATGCACACACAGAATACGCACATAATCATTTCTTAGCGTTCATAATTTTTAATGTCAATAAAACAAAGATGTTCTGATGATCAAAGTCAAATTCAGTGATCATCAAACTGTAAGAATATTCAACAAAACATCTGCGTTGGCAGTGGTACACAAGCACAACTAAATACTGTCTCTATGTGGCCTCAAAAGGAAAAAATATACAACAGGTGAAGTTTAAGGCAATAGCTCTTTTTCATAGTACACAAATCATTTAAATAATGAATGTACTATGAAGAAGGGTCATTGCCTGAAACGTTACCTATTATAATATGCTCTACCTTTTAAGCCCATACGGTGTTAACTTTGTGTCAACAAGAGTGTGTTTGTGTGTGTGTGCAAGTATTGGTTTGCAAACTGAGGCTATCAGAATCAGTCTTTATTTAGACTGGAGGAATCCGATGAGCTATGATAAGCCATCACCTCTCGCTCGACCTGGAATCCCAGGTTTAACCACGGTCGGCTGAACACCTTAACACCCTGAACGGACGTATGTTTGTATGTATGTATGTATAATGTCTTTCGCACCGTACGTATCCAACCGTGCTAATCGGAGGTGTGGGGTAAGGACAACAAACAAAACACAAGAAGCAGTTCTAAAGAAATGCGTTTTTAATTTAGACGGTTTAAATGTGTACAGGTCCAATGGCTTCCTCATATCGGAAGCAATAGCGTTCCAGACGGCTGCAGAAACACGCATCTGAAAGCGCCGCGCGATGATGATGCGGCGAACGTCAAACGCGGCACCTCAGCCCCCAAACCCGCGGTGGGCCTCCTGACGGCCACCTCCTGCCCGAGTGGCACCCCACTGGGCCCCGAGGGCTTTCTCCTCATCGTCCTCATCATTCACTTAACACGTCGATTCGCGGCCTGCTCAGCACAGTTCCGAAGCGGCCAAGGCCCCCCTGCTGGGTTGAGCAGGGAGGCCTGCACGGGCGGGGATGTAGCTGGAGGCGTGGTGCAAGGCAGATTGGCGACAGACCATTATGGATGGTGCACTGTTCGCTAAGGCCAGCGGTGGTCTGAGGGCAGACATTGCTGCTGCTGCCTGGCTAACAAAACACAATAAAACACTTCACGAATAGGTTTTTGCGGCCAATTATGATTACTAGTTCATAAACCCTGTCTTCCCCAGGAAAAAGTTTTCAATAAATATAATAATTAACTTGATGTGACTTTTCATAATTTTTATCCACGATCAGACACTTACAACTACTTCAAAAATGTGTATATTCCACGAAACAAGAAATTGACGACTTGATTAAACTTCGTATATTTTAAGACGTACCCATCGGAAACCACAATAAAAAAATTAATGAACTTAATACTCTATGAGGGGAAGCTCCTATATTTTATCGTTTTCGAATTACAGTAAATCCTTGGATTGCGAGTAACTTGGTCTTCGAGTGTTTTGCAAGACGAGCAAAAGTTTTAATTAAATATTAATTTGATAAACGAGCAAGGTCTTGCAATACGAGTAGTACGTATACGCTTTGTCTGCCGCGCATCACGTGATCACAACGGATATACGAGTGCTTCGGATTACAAACACATTTCCGGAACGAATTATGTTCGCAATCCAAGGTTTTACTGTATTCCGATTTGAACAAATTAAAAAGCGTATTTTTTTTGTTCAAAACCGTTTGAATCAGAAATATCTCAAAACCAATAAAAGATAGAATGGTTCTCACTTAAATTTTATTTGCTATTTAACGCTCTATCAAACGACAAAAAACGCAATCTTGTATTTTGAAAGGTTTCTGAATGACACGCACAGACATGTTTATGGGGAACTTAAAATCGAGATTTGGTGGGCCTTCAACTGAAAAATCTAGAATTTGTTTTTATTTTTCCTATTTTGTGTGTCCTAAAAGCTACTTATGGACCAAATTTCAGCTTCCTACCTCGTCGTGAAGGATCCTCGAGGTTTTTGAGAAATACAGATTAAGGTCTTCATTTATCTAGATGCTTGAATTTTTGGTCGGGTGGTGAAGGTTTCATAATGACACAGATTTGGTCAGATCATTACGTGGCCTGATCCAAAACTCGATTACTGTTTAAATCCACGTCCACCATACCGTCAACACGCCTTGGCAACACTTCTCGAAGCGTTGGCCGTTCTCGCAGCGAGCCAGCAATGTGTCCTTGACGGCATCTCCCTGCCCACCCGTCACCTGAGGTCCATTTTTGTCTGATCGTGTTTGTCAACACACACACACACACGTGTTCGTGTATCTGTGTATGTGTCAACACACACACACACACGTGTTCGTGTATCTGTGTAGGTGGTGGCGCAGTGGTTAGCGCTGAGCAAATAACACCGACGAACCAAGTTCGATTTACGCTCACGACCAATAACAGTGGTGCATATCTTTAACCCGGTCCTGTACCTCCCCTAGGTCCACTCAGCCTCAAATGAGGATCTGGTGCGGTGTGTAAAACATCACCATAGGAAGGCAAAGGCGTCCGGGCGTGGTGCTGGCCACCCACCCTCTCGTATGCCGTGCCAACCTTCATAGCTGCTCGCTAACAGCACTTGCCCCAACAGTCTGTTAAGGCTACACGGGGGATCTTTGTCTCTAGGAGTTAACCGGAAAACCCAGAGGCAGTGCACGCAGAACAAACTGCACACACAGGAAGGTTCCCCAGTGGCGAATCGAACCCTGGCATCGTCCTGCTGCGAGTGTGACCACTGCGCTGCCACCCTGGATGTGCGTGTGTCCTCTCACCTCCAAGTTGTCATCGTGGCTGGTCATCTGCATGCACTCATTGTAGTTGGTCCACGTTTTGTTTTGGTTGGGCGCCACCAACCACTGTCCACCATCGTCGCACCGTCTGTACGCCTGCCCTGCAACCCCCACAGGCATCAACAAATCAGTGTCCTCCTCTGCAGTGCTGCAGTGAGGGGGGAGCGGGCACCGCCCGAATGGGTGGCCAAGGCGATTTGTTGCAAACTCAAATATTTGTGGGATAGTGCCGGGGACAGTGCCCGTGCCGCAGGAAGGTGGTGAGGGATCGGCACGAGGATGCTATCTCGCCCGTACGACAAAATGTCAAGTTCCGGCTCTGGTCTTTTATTTAACCAGGCTAGAGCCCGATGAAATGAATTCCATTCTCCAGAAAACTTGGCAAAACGGTAGTCATGTACCGTTTTGAATAAATAGTTAATGTACATATCTGAATAAATATATACAAATGTGGGATTTGAGCTCGGGTATGGCCTGACAATAGCACGCTCTTGTGAGTGATGTCACAGCATCGCTCTAGTCCACTTTACCAGAGATGGCACGTTTAGTCAATTCCCACGTGGAAGTCACAGGACAGTAAACAAACGTCGGTTCTGCCAAACGATTGATCCACCAGCATGGGGTTCACCAACTGCCAGGGCACCCTCTCACCCACTCATTGCTTTGATGAACATGCTTTATCATATTTGTACCCCCAGGGGAATTAAGATCGGTTCCCTCCAGCAAATATTTATTCCAGTTATAGTTAAGGTTCCTTTATTACGATAAAAGGGTATAAATATTCAGTAGAAAAACACATTGTCGAATATTGTCTCATAGGGGGAAATGAATATTATTCCAGGAGGAACATGTTTGGTGGGAAGATAATATTATATTATTACATCACAGGATCACGAGAGATGGTGGCGGCTTGAAGAGGACTTCATCCAGCCGTTGATTGGCCATGGCCGATGAAGATACTGTACATTTTCTGGCAACGGAACCAAACCGGTGTTCTAGCAGTGTAGGGCTCAGCACCGGCCAGGGTACACCGCTTACCCATCCAACGCTTCCATTGAACACGATTTATCACAACGGGAAAGCCTCGCTCTCGAAGGGCGCCACTTCCGAGAGGAGGGCTTCGTGTTTGCCTCATGACTTCACATCGCAAGCCCTGGACCAATATCTACGTTTGTCCTTTCTCAAGGAGAGCCACCTAGCCGTGACCTTGTGCTGACCTTGTGCTGACGATTCGTGTGAGCTGCGAGTTTGGGTAATTCCAGAATCTCCCAGACAGAATTGGATCTGTCAAAAGTACGCCAGCTTGAGGTTGCCAGACGACTTCTTTTGCTCGGGGAAAAAAAAACCCGAAATGGTTTTTGAAAATAAAATCCCTTTAAAGCCCCCAAAATCCCCAGGTGTTGATCACTGCGGGGCTCGGCTGTTTGCTGTCGAGATCCGAGTGAGCCACGGGGGCTGAGAGCTTTTGAGCATCACCAGAGGAGCATAAATATACGAGGTCGAATGTTTGCATGTGTTTGTGTGTGTGTGGGCGTCTGTACTTGTGTCTGAGCGCGCGAGTGCATCTGTGTGTGTGGGTGTTTGTATGTACGCATACGTGAGTGTGGGGAGCAGTAGTGTAGTGGTGAGTGCACTGTGCCACGAACCAGGCAACCCGAGTTCAATTACTGCTTACAGACAATATGAGGAGCGAATATCAGTTCTGGGCCTCCCCTAAAACTATATGTATTTTTTATTTTACCAGATAAGGCCTACTGAGCTATATAGCTATTTTTCCGAAGTGACCTGGCCACAAATTATAGCCCAATGAAATGGCTTATCATTTGGAAATTTATAGCAGCCAAATATTCTAAACGCAGGTTGATTTTAAATGTGGGGTGAAAAACTGAAGAACCCGGGGAAAAATCCACATGACGAAGGGGAGAACAAACTCCAAATATACAACAGGTGTCTGGGTCAGGATCGAATCCACGACCTCCTGTATACCAGGGGATGTAGTTAACATCTAGCCACCGTGGCGTCCTAGGGCTATTTCAGCCTTAAATTAGTAGCTGGAGGTCTGTAAACATCAGCACTTGGGATACAAAGGCAGCCAGGCGTGGTTCTGGCCACTCACCCGCCCGTGTGCCGTGCCTGCCTTCATGGATGCTCGCTCATAACACTTGTCCAAACAATGTGGTTAGGCCACATAGAAGATATGTCTTTGCTATTGTGTTTGTGTCCATTTGTGAATTACTCTGTCAGTGTGCGTATTTGTATGCATGCAATCATTTTGTTTCCATATATTTGGGCGGTGACGCGGCCCAGCGGTAGGGCGTTCGCCACTTGTTGCAAGGGTTCACGGTTCGAATCGGCTCGCCAACCTGGCTACTACTGCTGTGGATGTATTAACTGTGAAGCACTACACGCCGTTTGTTTCACAGTGGACGTTAAAGATCACCTGGTGACGTGCAAAGAGAGTCAGCCACTGTGTGCTGGAGTTATGGTCCAAATTTGTCAAAGTCCAAGAAATTACAGTCCAAGAAATTACCTGTAAAACTATATTTTTTTATATTCTTGGTTCTTTCGGTAAAGTCACGTAGATAGAAAACAAAAACAAAAAATTCTAAAATGAAAAATAAAAATTGAAAATAATAAAAGCAAAAAAATCCACAATAAAACAAAATTTAAAATAAATAGAAAATTAAATGTTTTACCAGGTAAGGCCCACTGAGCTATATAGCTCTTCTTAAGAAGCAACCTGGCCACAAATGACAGCTCAACGAAGTGGCTTATTATCACGTGGTAATGTATAGCTGCCAAATACTCGAAACACATGTTAAATTTAAGTGTGAAGGGAAAACCGGAGGACCAGGAGAAAATCCCATGTCACCATGGGGAGAGAGACACGCAAACTCCAAATACACAGCAGGCGTCAGGGTCGGGATGGAACTCCCAACCTGCAAACCAGGCGAGGAAGAGAACATCTCGCAATAAATAATAAATTAAGTATAGAGCTTATCATCACCAACAGTGGAGGAGAGACGCAAACTACGGGAAGAGACATGCAAACTTCAAAGATACAGGCGTCAGGGTCGGGATCGAATCCACGACCTCCTGTATACCAGGCGAGGTAGTCAACATCTCGCCACCACGGTGCCCACCTGTAAATAATGGATATGAATGACACCTCGCAACATCGCCCGCCACTGTAAAACTGCAGACCATGTCCGTGAAATTGCATCTTCGTGATAATCACCTTGCGCTATAACAACGGCACTACCACCAAATCTACTCAATAATTGTTGTTATTCATGTTTACGGGTGCGGTATATTTGAATATGTACAACTGTAACGGCGTGCCAGACGGTACCGGCAGAGTTAAACAAAGGGACAGTTCGCGATCGCAGTGCATTGAATGTTATAACAAGCTATATATATACACACACGTACAATAGGCATACGATATACTGCAAATTAGAAACATCCTTCATTGCGCTTCTTGCCTCCAGCAGCTTGTCGTTTAATTTCGATATGCGGCACCCTGCCGCTTTATTGCCCAACGCTCAGCGCCGCTGCTGAGGATGTCGTCACGGTTCGCTGTCAGCCGCCCGTCGACCCCGGCCTCCGGCCCAGCGGGGCCAGCGCTGCGACACTGCGACTCGCGAGCGTTCCTCAGTTCCTATTTCCCTCGAAGTTATCGCTGCTCAGCCCCCGTCGGGGCTACGCAGGTGGTGGCCGCGCCATCGGGGCCCTCTCCCGGCGGTGAAGACAACGAGGGGACTCGTTTGACGGATAGGGACACGGGCGCCAGCGCTTCATTTCTCACCTCGCTGCTGCTCGCCCGGCTTGGGAGCAGAGGTTTTGGTACAAGGCACTACCACTAGAGTACAAGGTACGCCTATCAATACTGATCCTATGTGATTTTATGTCCCCTGTATTCCCTATGGTCCTATGAACAGGTTTAGATGCAAACAAGGCGCGGTGGATGTGGCTGGGTCTCAAGACAATTATCTGGACGGCGTTCCGCACTGATCCGGCTGAAACGAAGCGCCGAGTGGAGGGGTGTCCCGCGGTAAACCTTTCCCGTGGTTATTGGTGAAATCACAAATGCACGGTGGCCAATGACTGTGCGTCTGTGGAGTGACCAGTCAGTTGCGTATGCTATCCTTAATACAAAGCCGCCACGCTCGATGTAGTGCTGGCAAACCCTATTTACACATGTTTGACTAAACTCTATCATAATTTTATTAAATCTATGCGACTACTGGTATTAGCATTCAGGGAGAAAACTTTAAAACACCACAGGGATTTTGCTAAAAAAATGCTGATCGTGTCCAGACCCATGACACAACCCATGGCCTGGCTCGGCACCTCTCAGGTACAAAGAGCCAATAAGTGAATCACGGGAGTGGTGTATAATCACGCAAACCACAAAAAAAAACATAACTTTTAATACCCGAGGAAGACTTACAGATTTCCCAGAACAGCCACTTTGAAAGCAGGATAATCATGGGCAAGCGAGAACAGGTGACAACCCTCCTCTGGATTCAAGCCACCCAGACGTGACAAATAGACCCTGTCAAGACATCTGCGGTGGTGTATTTTTGAATTGCCCTTTGACCCATCGATCCACGTTGACCAACATGACCGACCGGCAGGTCGTATGGCAGTCAATGTATCAAAATCTCACGTTCAGTGTTTATCTCACATTTTCTGGCTCTCATTCCCTGTGTCTTCATCTTTGGAAAAGCACTAAACACTGGAAATGACTGCGGTAACCACCTCCCGTGAGACGCGAGGGATGTTCAAGGAAGGCCGTCGCGAGCTCCTGGACTGGCTAAAATGACAGCTGCCCATGCCCCGTGTCAATCCAGCAGATAATTATTTCAGAGTGAGACATTTTGCTGGGGCAGTCAGTCGGGCGAGCGATGTTGGCCGACGGTACTCAACTTCACCGCGCCCCACCCCGCGTGGCCCGAGGTGTGGTGTGACCGAGCAAATACGCGCAATCCTATTCCACTTCCAGCCACCTTCCCGACTCAATCTCCGGGCTCTCATTGTGAAAAAGCCGCGGCAAATCTGAGCCGTCCCCCAACTTCATCATTCCTTCGTTTACTCGGCGAGCCTGGGAAACGCCAAGACCGCGCGGGCAATCGCGGGACTCTCTCTCCATGCCTCCACACAATATGACGGTCAGTCACTCGGGGCGCTTGAAGACAGCCTTCACCTGAGATAACCTGTGGCGTGTGGCAAACCTGTGGCGTGTGGCAAACCTGTGGCGTGTGGCAAACCTGTGGCGTGTGGCAAATAAAAAACATGGATATGCTTTTCTTTGTAGCTGCTCGGTCTGTTTTGCCTTTTATTTTTTTTTATCCCCAATGTTTTGTTGTTGTTGCCGTTACAGCAGAAGCACAGAGGGCTTTGCGGGATCGGTCGCGGTTTAATAAATACACACGAAGCACCGCGTGCCTTGCTGCTGATATGAGCGTGGCCAATCACGGACGGGTCGCCGATTTATTGCGAATGCGCACCTCTCAAAATCCGCGATTGTCTCCCAATATTTTACTTTCCACCATCCCCTCCGTCGAATCCCACGAATTAAAACCCAGCACCGCTCGGTTGGGAGGTCATTAACCGTGGTGTAATTCCTCACTCCTATGACGGAGATCAGTCTCTCCATAGAACAAATACTCTTCAATAAACCATTTTGTGGAGTTGGTTTAATTAATCAAAATGTAGTTTTTATATGCTAGAAATATGAAATGGTCCATGTGAGCACGCATGCTCCGAGGTACATTACCTCAGCTATCATGACATTGCACGGACTACGTTCATGCGTGTACATTTGTCAATCCAATGCTGGATGAAGATGACGATAATTGATTGTGCATAGAGGCCTGTCAAATCCTAACAGAATGCCATGAACACATCGTCATGGCAATTCGTCACGTTCATTTGGCTCCGCTTTCAATCGAGAAAGCTGTTGCAAGGGGAAGATGAAATTCGACGGAAAAAACACGCAACGTTCCGTTGCACAACTTCCCGACACTGGACCGTCCCTACCTCTTAAAACTAATCACGCAGGCTTCACCGACTTATCGCTAGAATACCCAGAGTGTCGTCGCTTGCACAAATAAATGCTCCATTTGCCGCAGCAGCAGCAGCAGCACGGCGTGGGCGCGCGGAGCGTGGCGACGGAGGAGCCGGAGGCCGCGTGATGGAAATGAATCCGGGGCCGCGATCGCACAAGAAACCTGGCACCACTTTCATTTCCTCTCCAATCTCGGGGCAATTTCATTCGTCCCGACGCTGTGCGCGTGCGTGCCTTTGTCTATCCATCTGCATTAGAGGCTCCGTTTTGTCTTTAATTAACCCAGCGACTTGCGCTTTCACGCGAACGCGCGCGTACCTGCCAGCCCCGACCGATCCTATGCTGCCGATTTTTAAAAGCAATTGACCGCACACAGAATTTCACAGCAAAACAAATTAAATGTACATGTTTTTTTCATAAAGCGGAATGACGAGCTTTCATATCAGTATGCGGTACCAGGGATTAAAAATCAGCAGCCTATTATTATGCTTGTTTTCACGCAGGAAAGCCTCATTGAGTCTGACTCTTTTTCAGGATGGTTCTGGCAAGTTTTTTGCAGGAAGTGGCGATGGTTGCTGTGTGGAGAATCCCCATCGAGTAATTTGCGGTGTAATTTTTCAAATTCGGAAAATGTGGACCGTGACGCCGGCGCATGATGGCCTACTCTTGTGAATGAAGTCACGGGATCTTTAACGTAAACTTCAAAGCAGACTGCGTGTAGTATTCTCATAGTTTTAACACTCATCGAAGTATTAATCAGGGCAGCCACTGGATTCCAACCGTGAACCTCTGCAACAAGTAGGGAAGGTGCAACGGGAGAGAGATGTTAACTACCTCGCCTGGTATACAGGAGGTTGTGGGTTCGATCCCAACCCAGATGCCTGTATATTTGGAGTTTGGATGTCTCTCTCCCCGTGGTCGTGTGGATATTTCTCTGGGTCCTCCACATTTAAAGACATGCGTTTAAAGTATATGGCTGCTGTACATTTCCACATGATAAGCCACTTCATTGAGCTATTATTTGTGATAGCCAGATCACATCTTAAAAATAGCTATATAGCTCGTTGGGCCTTACCTGGTAAAATAACAATGGTTAAAGTTTAGTTTGAAGAACCGTTGGCCCAACGGGGCCTTCATCGCCTCCACGTTGATGATCATGACGATACTGGTAAGTACAGTATTCCGATGTTATTCGTTAAGAACTGGGTACTACACAATAATTGCAATGTAATGAGAAATATAATGTGCACATTAATTCATTAATTGATTGCAAGTTATTACGTTTTCATGACAGAATGTTGTTTCTGATTAGAGTGATTCTGATGATATTGGCGGTTATGACGTTATATATGATTTAGAAGCATGAATAATTCAACATACTTTATTTTTTGGAAGGGAGACTTGGTATACAGAAAAACTAACACGATCATTAAATCAAGATAATAACGATGTTTGTCACAAAAATTACTTTGCATTATATGTGCATAGAACAAGCATAAGATTACATTTCAGTCGTATATTTCACATCCACGAAATTGCGAATGTTTAGTGCTGTAATACTCTAACGTACAGGACCTAAGCTAAAAGACCTCCCAGAGGTCACCAGTTATTATGATGGCATCAATAATGAGATCAATGACGATGGTGATGGCAACAACGGTCATGATGATGATGATGTAGAGACCTTTTGAATGGGCTTCAGAAATAATCAAATGTCATCGTCTGGGAACTGACACGAGGTGGTGTGGACCGTCAACTTCGACAGACGCTGATGACAATGATAATGATGACAATTATAACAATGATAATGATGACAATGATGATGGCGGCGATAATGTTAACGGTGGTCATCAATGATGATTTTGATGGAGATGAAGTTGATGACGATGTTGATGTTAATGACGATGTTGATGTTAATGACGACAGTGCTCCGTGTACCCTTGTGGTTGAAGTCATAGATGTAATGGGGACACGAGACGTTCACCCACTGTCCAGGCAGCGTCGGAGGCCAGCAGAAGATGGCATCCCACTCCGGAGGGCACAACGAGCCTGGCTTACACACACACACGTGTACACACACACACACACGTGTACAACAACAACCGCCATTCGACACTAAAGGCTGTTGACGTCACCACAGTGCTTGTGCCAGGCTATGTGCACGCTAAGGCCACGTGAAGTGTGGAACGCCCGCTTGCAGGAGACCCAGGCACCATGGGTTGACTGAGATGACTGGCCGATGCACAAGCTGTGCCCCCTACTGTGCCAACACACGTGTACACACACGTGTACACACAGAGATCATCTTATAGCCATTTACAGCCAACCTCGTGACGCAAGACTCCTCGGCTCCCTCGAGCGTTTGTAAAAAATAAAAATGTTTAAAAAATAAAGAACAAAAGTAAGCGCTGGGGTGAATTCAGTGAAACAAAAATAAACCCCGACAAATAAATGCGATGTAACATTAACTGCATGCGACTGGCTCGCTGGAAATCCTGGCCACAAAGTGGGTTTGTCCTGCAGCTCTTCCGCCTAGCCCAATTCTCTTCCCGAGTCCGAGGACCACCGCAGCCGATGCGGCCAAATCAAAGGGCGTTGGGGTTGGCACGGAACGGCGAACACAGGGGAGACACGGACACACGCAGTGGCTGGCCGTGAACCAAGCGACCCCGAGCCCAGCAATGGCACGGTGGTCTCTGCAACAGTGGAAAAAGCGGCGCGAGATCCTCACAGACGACAAATCACCACTGCCTCTGCATAAGTACCCAGAGTCTTATCGAAATATCTGCTGCGTTGTTCAACTTGTAAGCAAATATGATTGTCGATTGCCGACCGATCCACTGCTGGATGAGTGCTTGCCCACGTCACGCGGGTTTATCTGAACACTCGCTGGTCAGTATGGGTTTGGTGAGGGCGGGGAGCGCATATAAGCACAGTACAACGATTGCATTTTTTCTGCGCTGCCCTCCGCTTACCACAACGTAGGCCTTTCCCAAGCCCCGTTTCACACGTGGTGGTCTCCAACAAAAGCACGGTCCAGGCTCAAACTCTGCTTGGATGAGATCGGCGCGATCTGGGTGACTGGGTCACAGGCGAGATGAGGCTCATCCATTACACGCCGCCGAGGTGTCCTTGGGTGACCTTGTTGCTTGTACACCGCGGTGTGTCATATAAACGCGTCACTATTATTGTTGTTTCTGTTTTCATTAAAAAGCTCTCTTTTTTGCAACGGCATTCGATAGAATTGGAGTCAGCATAATTTCAATTCCCTTGTTTGCCAACAAATTAGAAATGCGTGCAGACGCAGCGGAAATCGCCTCGTTTGTGCTACCTGAGCTGTGAACACCCCCAGAGTTCCTCCCCCCGTCACCCCCCATCACCACCAATAATTGGCCCCACCGCCCATCACCCTCATCACCGATAAACAGAGTTCCCGGTATGCCAACTCCTCTTTCACCAGTGAACAATGTCTTCATCCTGTCGGGAAATTCACAACGCTTTACCAATTCATCATTTAACTTGGGAATTAAATAAATATATACAATGATGACAAAGTGCTCATGCGAGACCGTGTTGCTGTCTATGAGCTTCAATATTATCTCAGTGCTCAATTGATGTGTGCTGTGTTTACAATATGGAGCAGTGAACTCGGCTCGTGTGCTGCAGGCACTGGCTTGGGTTGTCACCTCACGGGACACGGGAGAGATGGCAGGGTGCGCGGAGAGGCATGCATCCAGCAGTGAATTGATCATGGCTGAAGATCATGATCACCATGAACGGGTCATTGGAGGTCAACCGTGGGCGGTGATGGACGGAGGTGAGGGTATTGAGTGTTCACACGTGGCATGTAGGTTGTAAAACTATACAACTGTATAGTTTTACAAACTATACAACTGTATAGTTTTACAACCTATACAACTGTATAGTTTTACAACCTACGTGACTTTACCGAAAGAACCAAGAATATGAATATACAACTGTAATGGAGTAGTGTGGGTATACCATGAGGGAACGAGCGGAAGGAGATGCGAACGGGTTGAGAGTCATGTGGGCCCAAGGATGACGTAACGTTACGGGTTACGGAAGGGGCTTTCGTGTGGCACTTGCGAGAAGGTGGGCGGTACCAAGCTGGGGGGAGGAGCCACCCAAAGGGGTTCTTAAGGGGGACCCTGGGACGGGGGTGGGGTCGTTGTTGGGGGCCAGGGTAAGGAGCGGCTAGAAGAGGGTCTCCTCGTCCTGGGGCGGTGTTGGCTGATTCCCCGCTCCGGGCAGACGAGTGAGAGAGCCGAGGGGATAGCCGGGGTAGGCTCTAAATAGTTACTAAGTGTTCGGGTGAAGGACTGAGACAGAGTGCACCTACACTGGTGTGAGTGTAGGAAGACGAGTGAGAAAGTGTTTAATAAACGGCAATAACCCTTATACTATTCCTTGTCTCCGCGTTGTTCTACTGCACAACAACTGGTGTCAGAAGTGGTTCCCTACCTTCGCCGTCGTCATGTCTAAGTCGGCTGCGAAGCGCAAGAACCTGCCCGTGGTGCAATCGGATGACGAAGACAGCTTGGATGTGGTCCCCACAACGCCCCCGGAGTCTGGGGCCCCGGAGATGCACCCCGTGGTGCAGGAGGAGGATGCGGCTGGTCCCGATCGGCCACCATCGCCGGAGACCTGGCAGGCCATCACCAGTCAGCTCGGACATCTCATGGAGTTCGCCGTGCGCCTGGTCACGCTGATGTCGGAGCGACCGCTTCCCGCCATTGTTTCTTCTAGTGCAATGCAGCAACTGGACCACATTGTTTCTTCAGGTGCGACACAGCATTCGGGCGTCATTTTATCTTTGAGTGCGACGCAGCAATTGGCCGCCATTAATTCTGCCGCACTGACGCCGCCGTTCACATCCGACTTTACGTCCAATCTTTTTAAACTTCATCGTCAGCCAACAATTCGCCCTTTCACCGTGGCTGGGGGAGATTGGTCGGCTTTTCAGTGCTGTTTTGAGGCGGCTTACGCCTCGGTGGGGTGGCCGCAGGAGGAAGCGCTCAAGGCCCTATTAATGGCGTTGGATGATGACTCCCTGGCCTCTTTCAACTCCATTCCAGCCGCGGATCGGGCGACGCTCCCCTTGGCGTGTGCTCATATGGCCACGATTTTTGAGCCGCCCTTTAGCGCTCGCCGGAATTCTTTCTGCGGAGGCGAGGGGAGGCCGAGATGCCTCTCGCCTTTTGCAGCGCCTTGTTGGCACTCGGACAGTTAGCCTACCCCAACATGGACGGTGCTGCGCTTGACTCCCTGACACTGGAGCGACTGCTTTCACTGGCGCGGGGAGCTGGGCGTCATCCTGTCCATCGCGGAGGAGGCCGACCTGTCCTCTCTGAAGGTGGCGCAAGGTATTCAGGCCCACCTCGGCCTGCGCCAGTGGCCTAGCGTGGCGGCGTGTACCGGGGACCTGAGGCCACTGGATGCCGTCACGCCACACGCGGATGAACAGGTGTGCGCTTTCATCGCACGCGACCAGTGCGGGAGGGGTGCCGGAGGACATCGGCTGGGACAGCAGTGGTGAGCGAGGGCTCCTCCCTCGCGTGGGCCTTCACCCACCGCATGCTTCAGATGTGGCCAGCCGGGCCACATTGCCAGGGGCTGCCGCAACGACTTCGAAGCCTTCGCCAGGACTCTGTCTTACTCCGCATCCACATTGTCCTCTTCCACAGGGCCACAGGTGAGTTACGACACATCATCCATTCGGCCGCTCCCCGCACCTCACCCATCTAGTGGGGATCGGGTACCTGATCGCCTTGTCACGACAAACCTTGTTAAATCTCACGAACAGTGTTTGCGGTCGGTCGCCGGGTGGCCAAAGGGCGTACACCAATGGGATGCATTTGCACATCGTGTTGTCGGAGCCGCGGCAGGTTCCTCCGCAGTTATTGGTCATATTCAAGGTGTTGAAGTACGTATTTTGGTGGACACAGGCGCGTCTGCCACACAGCGTTGGTCAATTGAGTCCGGTCAATGGAGTTTGCGTTGCTGCAAACGGGGGTAGTTTGGGCATTTTGGGACATATTATCGCCTCCATTAGAATTGGTCACATCGAATTGGTGGGTCCGGTCTTGGTCTCAAAGACATTAGCCGTGGCATGCCTTTTCGGCACGGATTTTTTTGGCCAGGATGCCCCTTAAGATCTTAATCGACTAAGGGTGTATGGAGATGCCATCGGGCCGCCGACTGAAATTTTTGGATTCCACTACTCGTTTGACTTCTGTGGCCGCCAGTGTCTAGGCTTTAATGCTGGTGCCCTTGAGGTTGCGGAAACACCTGCTATTGCCAGTGCCTAAGGCGGGTGTCCTCTTAACCCCCTCTAATTACTTGTCATGATCCTCCTTCTTGGTGGGTGCTCTGATGGTCGTGGCGGAAAGCCAAGAGCCCTTTTTTACAAATGTTAAATGCAGGTCCATCCAGGCCAGTACCGTTCTGGCGCACGCGACCCCTGCTCATTCAGCAGAAGACGCCGTGCCTGTTGATGGTCTTGTGGGTGGTGTTGTTGGGGCTAACGATTCTGACGAAGCATGGATTGACAGGCTTTGTGAAGAGAATCCGCTCTTATCCCTGGATGAGCGGAATTGACTTCATAGCACTTATAAATCAATTTGGCAACATTTTCAGTCAAGGTAAATTTGATATAGGCCGTACTTCCCTATTGTATCATAACATAGACACAGGAAATTCACCCTCCATTCGATTTAACTCCCATCGCCTAAGCCCTGAAGAGAAAATCATGTCCGCTTGGCTGTTGATGAGATGTTGGCGGACATCATCTCTCCCTCGAATAGCCCGTGGGGGCCCCCCATAGTTTTGGTTAAGAAACGGGATGGGGGTCTCCGGTTTTTCATGGATTTTCAAAAGCTAAATAAAATTTCCGTGGCAGATGCCTACCTGCAGCCCCGCATGGACGAATCGCTGGATGCTCTCTCGGGTGCCCGGTTCTTTTCCACACAAGACTTGCTCTCGGGATTCTGGCAGTTACCGTTAGATGATGATTCAAAACCTAAAACTGCGTTCCGCACACCTCAGGGGCTGTTCCATTTCAATTGGCTTCCTACGGGCCTCCATTCTGCCCCGGCCACTTTTCAACGTCTCATGGAGCTGGCCTTGGCGGGACTTCAGTGGGACTTGTTTAATATATTTGGACGACATTGTTTTCAGCCTCACATTCGACGAGCATGTGCAACACCAGAAATCGGTCTTCGTCAAGGTGCGTGCTGCTAACCTCAAACTTAAACCACAAAAGTGCCACTTGCTGCAGTCTTCTGTTAAGTATTTGGGCCATGTGGTAAGTGTATCAGGGGTTGGTACTGACCCTGACAAGACTGCTTGTGTTCGTACGTGGCCAATCCCTACATCGGTCACTGAGGTTCGCAGTTTTGTGGGGTTTGCCTCGTACTACCACTGTTTTGTCCGGGATTTCGCGACCATTGCAAAGCCACTCCATGCACTGTCCGCTAAGGGCCAGAAATTCCATTGGGGCAAAGAGGAGGAAGCGTTCATCATGTTTCGGTATTCCCTTGCTGACACGCCTCCCCTGGGTTACCCCGACTTCTCACTGCCCTTTGTCCTGGATACTGACGCCAGCGACACGGGCATAGGGGCTGTGCTTTCCCAGGTGGTCAACGCTGCCGAAAGGGTTGTAGCCTATGGCAGCCACGTGTCATCCTCCGCGGAGCAGCGTTATTGTGTAACACGTATAGAGCTAATTGACATTGTCTATTTCGTATAGCTGTACAGGCCCAACTCGTATATTAGGTTTATTGTCCATACGAATCATTCCGCCTTGCAATACTCCTTGCGCATAGATCAACCTTCCGGTCAGCTGTCCAGCTGGCTCGAAGTGTTGCAGGAGTATGCATTCGATGTTATTCACAGAAAAGGGGTACTGCATGGTAACGCGGATGCCTTGTCTCGGTTTGCACCAGACGGTGGGTGTGCACGTATGATGGGCTCTAGTCGCTGCAGGCCTGCTGCTGAAAGCACGCCTCAGTTAATGGCGATGGCCAGCACAGCTCCTCTTCAAGGAGTGCCAATGCCCGCGGATTGCGTAGTGGATGGTCCCGCCTACAGATTTGAGAATACCTCTGTTGAAATTGCAACGCCATATTAAATTGGACGACCATAGCACCGCTCCGGTGGCCTCCGCAGCCGTTGCCCTTCATGATGGCCTTCTTATATGATGGGACGCTGAGTTACACAGGTACTGTGTTGTGGTGCCCACAGTCCTCCTAGGTAAACTGACTCGCGTGATGCACAAAAAATGAATGCACTTGGGTGTTCGGAAAACTTTGCTAACCATCAAACGTGACTATTACTGGCCAGGCATGGAAGACGACGTGGCACTGTTCATCAAGGGCTGTCAAGATTGTGCACACTGGAAGCCTCCGGTTTTGCATGATTAGCCCCCACTGCAATCAATCAAGGTATTACGCATTAACAAACTTGTGGCCCTGGGCATTTTAGGCTCATTCCCAAATTCTCAGAGGCCACAAGTATCTCTTGGTCAGGGTAGAGCACCTTACCTGCTGGTCCATGGCATGGCCCTTGCATGATCAGTCGGCCACGTCCACAACCGATTCCTTTTTGCACGGCTATGTGTTAGACAAGGGAGCCCCGGAGCAGCTCCTTACTGACCTGGGTCGAAATTTTACTTCAAGACTGCTGAAAGAGGTCTGTGACCTCCTGGACACGCACGAGGAAGATGAGAAGTTTGCCCTACCACCCTCAAACCGATGGAATGGTAGAGCGCTTACATATCACCCTCATCTCCATGTTGTGCCACCAAGTGAATGCGACCCAGTCGGATTGGGATTAGTTTGTTCTGAGCGTCCTCACCACATATAGGTTGGCCCCTCATGCCTCAATGGGATTTTCACGTTTTTATTTCATGTACAGGATGGAGCCTGAACCCCCAATGCACATACAATTGGGCATGGGCCCATCTAAAAAGGGATCAGCTGTACCCACTTCCATGAAAGTCACACTTGACAAGTTGCGGGAAGCATGTGAGGCCTCTACAAACAATTCGGCCAACCAGCAAGCAGCTAATGAGTGGGTGGAGAAACATTGGGGATCCGGCCATCTGTGGAAAAAGGGGGATAAAGCATGGCTGCATTGCCCACATGTACCCATAGGGACGTCCCCCAAATTACATCGCACTTGGCAAGGTCCTGTTGAGGTCGTGGAGGTCCGCCGGTCACAGTGTGTGCGCATCCGATTTGGTCACCATCACTGGATTGTTCACCCATCCAGGTTAAAGAGATACGTGTTGCCATGTCCCGACGATCCATCCCCAAGTTTGGGGCGACCGGTGCCTGATGTGTCCGACGAGCCTGGCCACCAAGGCCAGGAAGTGGTGCATGAAAAGCTTTCTGTTCTTCCGCCCACAAGACCCCACCAATTAGCTCCCGAAGAGTCGCCCGCATCGTCGTCGGGAGAAAAACCGACACCCGAGGACACACCACCCTCGCACAAGCAGGATACTTCTCGTGGGAGTGGACCGGCATCACGTACATGGTCCAGAGGCGCTCTGCTCCGTTGAGCACCTCCTTCTGGCCCCGTAATCAACAGACGTCTATCGTCACCGACGGTGCGTTGGGCACCATGGACTGAGGGATGGAGGCCTACCTTTGTACTTTGCATTCTGCCCTAATACCCTTGTTATTACTCTTTGTTTTTTTTCGGTAAAGTCACGTAGGTAAAATAAAATAAATAAAAACAACTAAATTAAATCACAACATTTCGGAGGCTACACAAGCCTCTGTCTTCAGGTGGAAACCGTCACAGCAAAATTGCTGTATCAAGTGAAGAGAGCTCTAAGATACCCGAGATTATATACAGGTTAAGGGGGGGGAGGAGCCAGGAAGGGCCGTGGGGGGGGGGGGCTAAGTTAAGCTGCCTTTTGTTATGCTGCAGGGGATTAGGGGGGCAGAGAGGTGATGGCGAGCGGTTGTCGAAAACGAGCGCAACCAACTGGAAGAAATGGAAATGGCTGTACAATTATAAGGCAGCTAAATTTTGACTTGGTTGATGACATCTTTCCAATGATTGCTCAATTTAAAACCATCCTCTCGGTTGAAGTTGTGTCTATGCTTGTATATCTGGATGGCTTCATGGACAAATCTTTGGTAGTATCCGGGAGGTTTGCAGAGTACTTTGGTATCGGAGAAAATAATATCATGAGAACCCGCTGTGTTGAAACAGTGATCTGCTACAGCCGAATAATTCGTTCTGCCGTGTTTCAAATCTGATTTGTGCTCGCGAATTCGGTCAGAAATGTGTCGTTTTGTCTCCCCGACATAGCAGTCACCACAGGTACAACTCAATTTGTAAACACCGGGGTACTGTAAGTCAGGAATGACATCCTTTACGGATGGGATCAGATCACGGATTGTGTGTACTGTATTGAACCGGACCTGGATCTTGTGTTTGTTTAGAATTTAATAAAAACATTTGGTAACGCCTGCTATGTATGGCAACATGATGATTTGATGCAGTAATTTTGCTGTAACGGTTTCCACCTGAAGACGGAAGCTTGTGTTGCCTCCGAAACGTCGTGATTTAATTTAGTTGTTTTCATTTATTTTATTTTACCTATGTGACTTTACCGAAAAAACCAAAGAGTATGAATCCTTGCAGTCACAAAAGCTTCAAATATAGAAAAAAACATTGTTATTCCCTTGCAGATGGCCTTGCCTCCTCACTTCCAGTGCTGTTATTATTGTTGTAATTGTTGTTGATATTTTCTGGCTATTTGCCGTCCGCCCGCCGCGGTTTTTAATTATTGTTAGCAGCAGGGATGGCTGATTTTTTTATGGGTGGGGGGGGGGGTGATGTAGAAGAGTAGTGTGGATATCCCATGAGGGGGCGAGCGGAAGGAGATGCGAACAGGTTGAGAGTCATGTGGGCCCAAGGATGACGTACCATTACGGGTTACGGAAGGGGCTTTCGGATGGCACTTGCGAGAAGGTGGGCGGTACCAAGCTGGGGGGAGGAGCCACCCAAAAGGGTTCTTAAGGCGGACCCTGGGACGGGGGTGGGGTCGTTGTTGGGGGCCAGGGTAAGGAGCGGCTAGAAGAGGGTCTCCTCGTCCTGGGGCGGTGTTGGCTGATTCCCCGCACTGGGCAGACGAGTGAGAGAGCCGAGGGGATAGCCGGGGTAGGCTCTAAATAGTTACTAAGTGTCCGGGTGAAGGACCGAGACAGAGTGCACTTACAGTCTTACACTGGTGTGAGTGTAGGAAGACGAATGAGAAAGTGTTTAATAAACGGCAATAACCCTTATACTATTCCTCGTAATAAACGGCAATAACCCTTATACTATTCCTCGTCTCCGCATGGTTCTACTGCGCAACACAACTATCAATTATTTTTTATTTTACCAGGTAAGGCCCACTGAGTTGTATAGAAATTTTCAGAAGCGATCTGGCCACAAATGATAGCCCAAGGAAGTGGTTATTATCATGTGGAAATGTATAGCAGCTAAATACTCTAAACGCTTGATGTTGATTCTAAGTGTGGAGGGAAAAACCGTAAAACCCGCAGAAAAAGCCACACGATCACAGGGAGAGAGAGACATGCAAACTCCAAATATAAAGGTGCCAGGGGCGCGGTAGTAAACATCTCGTCACCGTGGTGAGTGACTGGTGAGAGTGGTGAGCACACACCTGGCGTGTGGGTGGTGAGGATGGTAAGCACACACCTGGCGTGTGGGTGGTGAGGGTGGTGAGCACACACCTGGCGTGTGGGTGGTGAGGGTGGTGAGCACACACCTGGCGTGTGGGTGGTGAGGGTGGTGAGCACACACCTGGCGTGTGGGTGGTGAGGGTGGTGAGCACACACCTGGCGTGTGGGTGGTGAGGGTGGTGAGCACACACCTGGCGTGTGGTTGAAGCTGTGGATGATGCTCTCGCACTGCTGCCTGGGGACGAGCAGCAGCAGCATTTGCCCTTCCTTGGTCAACACGTCGTCCGCGTCCATCTGAACAGAGGCAGCACAGACGCAGTGACACCACAACGGGCAAGTGCAAAAACCACCCGGCACTTGAAAGCCACGGGGACTGCGCCACGTCAAGCTGCGCGTCTACCCTGCCAGAGAAACCACCGGCATTGGTGCGAATGGAAACACCTGGCGAGTTACTCCAGGGATCTTCTCTCTCCGTTGGCGTCACTTATCTGGCTTGTCAGCCAAATCACAAGACAGCCCGTCATGGCAAGGCGTGCGTGTGGTGTGTTAGATGATCGCCAGAGCACAGTTGCGCGCTTTGATCGTGCACGTGTCAGCCTACAAGTCACACGTCAATGCCATTTCTTGCTTCAATGAGCATCGAGGCATTGATGCCTTTCTCCTGATTACAGCCGAGCTGAACCAGCAGTGGGAATTCCACATTGCTATGGCGGGGTGAGTATATTCATAGGACAAGCACGGTTGACTTCGCCACAAAGTGATACTTATTTTATCTACCCGGGAGGGATCATGGGCCGTGTCAACCTGCAAGCAGGATTTAAGCTCTCAACCTTCTGCACGCGAGCCCCTCTCTCCACCGCTGAACCACCTAGGCGGTAATTAGCCGACACAGAGCCTATTAGCGATGATTGTACTCCCACTGTGACCAATTACACCGAATTAATTACCATTAGCAGATTGTCAAACAATAAGCTTCTTGGTTTAACACGTAGGCTTTCGCGACCAATATTATTCATGATAAAGGTTTTTGGGTTAGATCGCGTTATTTATAAATGTGTCGTAACCTTCCACCACCCGACACGGCCAATCAGCAAAAAAAGATGTCACATTGACAAAAGACAATTAGTTCACTACTTTAGCCCACTGGTGTGTTGAAGAGCGAATCCACAACATTTACAGTTTGAATACGACGTTCCGCTGGTAATTACAGCCAGCATCATCGGGCAATTCACCAGAATGGTAAAGCCCTCACCTGCTCCCGGTCTTAAATAGAGCAGCAGGGTGACGTCATCATTTAACTCATTCAGGTACAGTAATTATATAATCGATTGATAATCAGTCAATGATTATGATAAGTAATGAGTTGTAATGTGTGTTATTGTGGATATATACTACGTTAGTAATCCGTTAATTAGTATGTGTTTCCCCTATAAGGAATTGTAATATGTATTATTTAATCATACGCTTCCAAGCCGCACTAAGCCTATAGCTATCAGAGCGATTAAAGTTATTTTTATTTCTCTCAATTCCAATGGATTCTCTAATTAGTCTTTGCCAGTAATTATTCGTTTTACACAACACTTCAACGTTATCAAAATCAATTGAGTGTCCTTGTTGACAAGCATGTTCTGCCACTGCCGACAGTTGTGTTTGAGATAATTTAATATTTCTTTGGTGTTCTTTTAGTCTTACGCTGATGTTACGTCGCGTCTGTCCAATATAGCATCTGCCACATAAACAATTAATCCGATATACACCTTCTGTTGATAATTTAGGTAATTCGTCTTTAGTGCAAGATAATAATACAGAATGAAAGCTTCCGTGACTGCATAAATTACTCATTGTTTTTTTTCTAGTAAAGAATACAGGTTTACCAAAAGATATTCCGAAACTTGCTGACCATTGCACCTGAATGAGTTAAATGATGACGTCAACCTGCTGCTCGATTTCAGACCGGGAGCAGGTGAGGGCTTTACCATTCTGGTGAATTGCCCGATGATGCTGGCTGTAATTACCAGCGAAACGTCGTACTCAAACTGTACATGTTTTGGATTCACTCTTCAACACACCGGTGGGCTAAAGTAGTGAACTAATTGTCTTTTGTCAACGTGACACTTTTTTTGCTGATTGGCCGTGTCGGGTGGTGGAGGGTTACGACACATTTATGAATAACGTGATCTAACCCAAAAACATTTATTATGAATAATAAGCTTCTTGGCTGAGTCGGTGCTGTCAAGAGTGGAGTCGGCTGCTAATTGTAAGGCACGAGTTCACAGGCACGTCATCAGTTCTCCTGCTGTGTTTGTTTCACCTGATGACGGTTGCTTGGGTTGCGATCGAAACGTCGTGATCTATTAATTTTCTATCTACGTGACTTTACCGAAAGAACCAAAGAGTAGACATGTCAAGGTGAACTCGGCCACCACCACCACCACCACCACCCCATGATCATTATCGATTGTAGTCATCACCACTGTGCTGGCGTCAGCGTCACATCCTTACGCCTTCACCATTCGGTGTGAAAAACGGCGGTTTATGTTATGGATAGACCGCGTCACGTCACAGGAATGTGGAATTTCCACCCAAAAAATGTAAACTGTGGAGCGGTGGTACAGTGGTTAGTTCGCTGCGATGACGAACCAGACGACCCGACGAGTTTGGTTTCCTGGCCACTGCTTATTCACACTGGTGGCAAGTGAGATCGAACTGTTCCGACACACACTGGCCGCCTTTGTCTCACCAGTGGCGATGTTTGCACTGCCCAGCGTGGTGAAGTTAGGTCAGAAACCCCGTTGCGTAGTTTGAATTCATATTTTAAAATCAGAACTGACAAAGGATTTGAGCACCTGACATTTTTTTTACTAAAGCTTCTGCATTTATTTTCCACAACAGAATGTGTTTTTCTCAATAAATAAAGCGAATGTTATTTATAACCTTATTACAACAAGCATCCAGCCGCTGACGTCTGTTATTACAGAACCGTGCACACACCGCAATATTTACCGCTGTTATTGCTGAGACATATGCGCGCACTCACACACTGGCAAAGGTCCCTGTATAACCTTTTAGACTGTTGGGTCAAGTCGTGTTAGTGTGCACATATGAATTCCGGCACGGCACACGAAGGAGTTCAAGTCCATCACCACGCCCAGCCACTTTTGTCTCCCTCGTGGCGATACTTGCATACACATCGCACCCGGTACTCATTTGAGACTGAGTCGACCTAGGAGAGGTCCAGGACCGGTTCAGATAATCGTCACTGGTGTTGGCGGTGAGCGGGATTCGAACTCGGGTCGCCGGGTTCGTATTGCAGCGCGTTAGCCGCTACACTACTGCTCCCCATACTCACACAAACGTAGCATTGCACTGAAGAACACACAGAACACACATTGTAACACACGTTAAGAAACAAGCACACAAACACACACAGACGCACAGTCACGTGCACACATTGGCACACGCAAAGACACGTATTCTTACAAATTTACACACACACCGACACACACACACACCTGCACACACACACACCTGCACACACACACCTGCACACACACACACCTGCACACACCGACACACACAATACAATAAATAGCTCGATGAGATTATGAAGGAGCCCTGGCAGATGTAAACGATTTGAATGTTACTCAGGATAGTATAAACTACCTTGCAAATACAAATATACACCTTAAGATAGATAAATATATTCATGCCTTCAATATGAATATACTTACTGTTTATTAACCTCCATATATTTCGCAAGTTGTGTTGCAATAATTACCTAACACACTCAAAGATAAATGTCCCCGTATATCCTTAACATACACAGACAGTACTTTGTGGCAAGTGCTGTCAGTGAGCAGCTCTGAAGGCCGGCACGGCACACGAGGGGGTGGGTGGCCAACACCACGCCCGGGCGCCTTTGTCTTCCTACTGGTGATGTTTTACACATCGCACCAGGTACTCATTTGAGGCTGAGTCGACCTAGGGAAGGCCCAGGACCGGTTCAAATAATCGTCACTGGTGTTGGCCGTGCGAACTCGGATCGCCGGACAAAGACCCCCTGTATAAATTTCGATTTAAAGCTTTCGTGACTGCAAGGATTCATCTTCTTTGGTTCATTCGGTAAAGTCACGTAGAATGAGAATAAAATAATAAATTGATAAAATAAAATAACACAATAATATTCTCACGACGTTTCGGCCACAACACAAGCGGCCTTCATCAGGTGAAGGGGACGAGACTGTCTGGAGGACAGCGCTGGAGTGAGAAAGCCACGCTGAGATCACGACCTTCAAGCTGTGTGAGAAGAAACAAAGCGTCTTGACAAAGGAAGAAATAAAGCGCCTTGACAAAGGAATTCCTTTGTCAAGGCGCTTTGTTCTTCTCACACAGCTTAAAGGTCGTGATCTCAGCGTGGCTTTCTCACTCCAGCGCTGTCCTCCAGACAGTCTCGTCCCCTTCACCTGATGAAGGCCGCTTGTGTTGTGGCCGAAACGTCGTGAGAATATTATTGTGTTATTTTATTTGATCAATTTATTATTTTATTCTCATTCTACGTGACTTTACCGAAATAACCAAAGAAGACCCCTGTATAGCCTTAACAGGCTGTTGGAGCAAGTGCTGTTAGCGAGCACCTATGAAGGCCGGAACGGCACACGAGGGGGTGGGTGGCCAGCACCACGCCTGGCCGCCTTTGTCTCCCCAGTGGCGATGTTTGCACAGCGCCTCAGGTACTCATTTAAGGCTGAGTCGGCCTATTGCATACACAACCTATATACACACAGACACCGAAACTCATACGAAGCACGGACACACGTACAGGCAGAGCTCGCCAACATCAGCAAAGCGAAGCACAAACACGGGCGCACGTTCACGCTGTGTCCTAACAAAGGGATGGGTGATGGCCAGGAGACAACAATCTTCAAAGGCGGCCCAGGCGTGGTGCTGGCCACCCACCCCCTCGTGTGCTGTGCCGGCCTTCACAGGTGCTACTCACTAGCAACACTTTCCCCAACAGTGTCAGGAAGATGCACAGATCCAGTGCGACATGCGCACCACATACACGGTAACACCTCCGATGAGTGCTGTTGGCTACGTACGATGACGTTCAACATACAAACAATACAGAGATGTAGTGACGTATATTGAGACACTACGGCATTTAGCGTTTGGTACTGACAGAAGAGTGGCACTGTGCATGTGAGAACCTCTCTTTGGCACCAGAGTATGTATGGCATGGAAGGGGGCCCTGGGGGGCATGGTTCTGGTGACTGTCAGAGAGAGGGCAGTTGAGA